TAAACCCCTAAACCAAACTCTAAACCTAAAACTAAATGCTAACCCTAACCTCTAAACCAAACCACTATGCCCTAACTATAAAACTAACCATAACTCCCTAAATTTAACCTTGTAATCCCAACTCTAACCATCTAACTCTAAACCTAAAACATAAACCTGATCATAAAGACACTAACTATAAACCCTAATCCCAAAACTAACCATAATCCCCAATGCTAAACTCTAACCACTAACCCTTACCCCAAATCTAAACCTAAACTCTAAAGCTTAAACCTAACTCTAAATCCCAAACTACATAACTAAACCTAATTCCTAACCCCAACTCTAAACATATTCCTAAGTCTACACCTGACCTCAACTACCTAACCTTATCTGATGGCTTTTGTCAGTGCCCTGCTTCCCTCCAGAGTGCCCTGGGCCTTGTGCTTTGGCCTGCAAGGGGTGCTGCTGCCTTCCAGAGTGTCCTGGGGCTTTTGCCTGGCTTTGTGAGGCCCACACAAGGTTCTGCTTCCCTTCAGAGCACCACAGGGCTATTGCTGGACTTTGCTGTTGCTCAGGTAGGTCTCTGTTGCCTTCCAAAGTGTCTGACAGCTTTTGCTGGGCTTTGCTGGTGCTCACATGTGGCTGTCATGGGAAGGAGAAGGTCAGTAATAGCTTTCAATCCTGGCCAGCTCCTTGTGAGAGCCGTGCCCGATGGGTGTCCTTTTTGGAGCTGGGCTCTGGCTAGGATGAGGGTGTAGGTGAGTAGGAGTCTTTAGACTGAAGCCAATAGGAATCTTTCCAATGATTTAAAGGGTGTTGGATGGGATTCTACAGAAAATTGGCATGACTTTGAGTTGACAGTTCTATTTTGACTACTGACTGTCACAGCCCCGCAGATACTTGCACACTAGCTGCTGTCTGAATTCATGAGGCTCTGTTCCTACATGTCTGTCTTGGGATAACTGCTTTTGCTGACATTCAGAACATTCTCCAGTCCTTCTGAAGCCTTTCCATGATTCACATGCCTCATTTCTCAAAACACTAACACTTCAGGTTCCTCTGTGAATTAATGTGCTACAGCAGGAGAAAATCTCCAGCCCTATCTGTCTCTCTCTTCTCTGCCTAATGAATCCTTCTTTGCATCCTCCTTTCCTTCCCCTCACACTAATCAACAAATTTGCTTCTTCCAAAAGGAATTCTTTCCTTTTACATAACCCTTTTAACACTTTCCTGTACACTGGTTGCTCATACACTTGCATGTTGTGCCACAATCTTGCCAGCCTTTCCTCTTTGCTGTTAACAGCTGGATGTATAAATGTAGACTGTGCCACTTTTCAATGACAGAGAGGATGCTTCCAAGAACACACTAAATTAGCATGTGAGAGTTCTCTCAGCTTTGAAATCAGCTCCAGGGCAGAAGACATGCTTTTCACCTTCCTCCTGTCCATGTTCGTTGAGCATGCAGATCCACGCAGTAAAGGTCTCTTTCACCCAGACACTGAGGAATCTGTTGCCAACAGTTATCCTGGAACATCTCCATCTCCCTGAGATTAGCTCAGTTGGTTACAGCACAGTGCTAATAATGCCAAGGTGGTGGGCTAGATCCACATATGGGCCATTTACTTAAGAGTTGGACTCAGGGATCCTTGTAGGTCCCTTCCAACTCAGAATATTCTGTGATCAAGCCTTGCTGCAGGCAGAGCTTGCAGAAAACCACATTTATATGACTGGGAACTGCAAGTGATAATGCCATAGCAGACACCTCACTTCAACTCATTCCCTAAATCAGTTTCATCCTACAGTGCCAGTACCTGCTTTACTCATTGAAAGAACTTCTGGTGGGTTTCTGTCTCCCAAAGTTCCTTGGCATTAAATGACATGCTCTTACTGACTTGAGCACATACATTCTAGCCCAAACTGGTATTCTCTCCAAAGATCAGCATTTTTGTGTCATTACATGGAAATCTCAGTTTCCACTGTGAAAGAAAGAAGTCTTGGCTTTAAAAAACGTGATTCGAAAATAGGACTTACAACATCTCAAAGAAGCCAACTCAATTCCATCTACAAACATGGTAATTTTTAAAAGTCTTCCAGTATGGGAAGCCCAGTAAGTAAGTTTTGAGTGGATTGGCAAGGCTGAAGATTGTCTCAAATGTAGTTTCTTTTGGTAAGCCTGTTATACAGATACAGTTCCCTACTCCATTCCTAGTCATCTCTATCACTTTGGGTGGACAAAGCAAATGAAGGAGCTATCTAAAGGCCTTTTCCACTGAAAACCAAAAAATATTTCCATACTTTCACATGGAAAGTAGAAATTCAGTACAAACTGCCAGCTCAGAGCAGGGCATAGGCACATCCTGTATGTGTCCAACACTGGCTTCCTCACGATGAGGCCCATCCCTTCATTATAAACAATGGAATATTATTATTTGAGGGACGAACTCTTTGAACCACCTTGGTGGTCAGCTCCTACTAAGGTTACTCTTCGATGGAGTGGGCACAACAGTTGTGGAACACTCTGTAGGGAAGCATCTGCCAAAGCAAATCTCTGAAACAGAAGAAAGGGTGAGATACACATGGCTGAACCTGCTCAGGAATGGGGAGATGGAGTTCTGAGGTCCCCTCCAAGGCCTATGTGCAAATACGTGTAAATCTATCCTGAGAATATGCAATCTGCCTAAGCCATAATCAGGACCATTTCCAGGAGCTTGGGGTCACTTGGTTTCAAACAGAGTGGGAGCTCCAGCCATCCACATTCCCAGAGACCTGCTCCTTCTTTCACTACTAGAAGGTGACCTATGGAACTGAAGACCACCGAGTCACATATGTATGTTTGCAGTCACTCCTTCTTTCAAGAGACCTCACCGGCAAATGCCAGGATACACCTGAAGAGTTAGAAAAATAAGTAAATTCAGCAAAATTATCATAAAAACGAGGGCAGGGATGGCCAGCAGGTTTATTATGTCTCAGGAAAATAAGGAAACCCCCTCCCTTTATTTTTATGCTAGTAAGTTGGCCATCACAACCAAAGCCATAAATCATTTATCTGCAAATACCCCCAGTGCCTGAGAATGCTGTCAGACTCCTCGCTTGCTGTGCGCTGGCACTGGGACATACAAAGGTGTCTGGCCAATCTTGCCAGTTGAAAAGCTTCCCAGCACCAGTGGGTATGCCAATCTGCTACAGAGTAGGATACAGCGAACAACATTTTCTGCTGTGTGGGAAGGAACCACTTCTAATTCCAACTCAGTGGCTTGCGTCTGCTGGCAAGGACAAACAAGAAATTAGTTACAATGAAAGTATAATGTAACTCAGTCCAAAGACAGAGCCTTAACTGGCCCCTTTCCTGAGAAAATGTAGACTTCACAGGAAAATTGTTGCCAATGGAAGTAGCCTGAAGCACTCACTTCAGGAAGTACTGGCTGTAACCAGAGTATCTGGCACTTCAGAGTTTAGGGCAGGAAAAAGAAAGGAAAGTCATCTGTCGGCCAAGGAACAGTACGGATCTTCAACTAATTCTTCTTTTCATTATCCCTGTGTGCACAAGGGGCACAGGAGTAAAATGCATCTGCTAGTTACTATGTGCTGCATGCAATATAAAACTGTCAGGGAAACCCTCAAATGCTAGTATTTTTCCTCTCCAATGGTTTTTAAGAGATGAAGAGTTTTGGGGAATGGATGTTTTTGTAGTGTCCGTATCTTCTCACCTCTGCTTCCCACAGTGCACATTGCCTGGGCTTGCACAGCACACAGCAATGTTATCCTCAGGCCAACAAGAGAAGAGGGCTAGGGTGCACAGATGACCCTGCCCAACATATACAATGGTTTTGCCCTGTTTTCTTTTAAAGATGGTCCTTAGATAAATGTCATCTCTCCCTTGGTGATCCTTTCCTTTCTCAACAATTAACAGTCCAACAGTGGAGCAGTTTGACCTTCTTTCCTTGGAAATCATTTGACCTGTACAGCCAAGATTGTTCTGCATAAAACAGTTTCAGCCATTTGTACACCCCTTGCGCTTGTGTTGCTAATAAAGGTTTATATTTGGTGTTGCTAATAAAGGTTTATATTTGGCATGGACAGACAGCACTGAGTTGTTCTGTTACAAGTGTAGGCAATCCTGCTTCCCTGTTAGGCCCTGACTATTTGCCAGAAGCAATGGTGATTGCCTGCTGGGATGGGTGGCTGCACACCTCAACATCATGAGAGCTGACAATTTGTTGAAGTGACAGTCAAGATCTGAAAAGCTCCAAGACAACTCCTTGCTTTAAACCATGACTAGATGGTCTCCATAGTGGCTCTCCACAGCTCAAGCCCTGCTGCTCTCAACACCACTGTTAATAAGCTCTATTACGACTTGAAAGCTCCTGCCTGGAAGGTCCAGATTTACACAAGCACTTAGTATGAGAGGGGAACATTTAAAAATGCCTCTCAGTGAGGTCACTAAAATGGAGAGAAACTTCCACTGCAGTTAGAGTCAGAGGATATGGTGGCCTGAGAAGCAAGTAAGCTGATACAGAGCAGGTCATACCATTTTGCTGCTTCACGTTTCAACTTTCCCTGCTGCCAAACACAGAGGACAGCATTTGTCCTCTATAGAGCTTATATAAATCTACAGATGGAAACTACAAATAGCTAATGCTTATTATGTAAAGATCCTGCCCTTCTACCACATAGGGTTACTCCAACAACCGTCATTTTGACCCAAGAGCAAGATGCTCCTTTCCTCTGTACAAAGTATTTTCTCCCAATTAGGGCTGCCCTTTGCAGAGTATAGCACAGCAGGTTTTCAACTGCCTGCAAGATCTTTAAATGCTACCATTTGCTACAGATCACTGAATTACCTTTGCTCTAACAAAGGCTGCCATAACAGTGAAGAAGGGACACCTCCCTCCATTGCTCATGTCTGGTGAAACATCACTCAAGTGAGAGGGGATAATAGATGCAAACCAGCAGGTGAGCCTGCTGCCCCTATTCATGCCTTAAGATTGCTAGGGAGCAAAAAATTACTCATCAGGCAATTATTAGTAGAGAGAAGACAGAGAGTAGATTCTTTAATGAAGGCCCTCAACCACTGGGAGTACAGAGATGCACCCCACATGTCCAGGGGTTCCACAATTTATGGTATCGTCCATCCAATCCCAGATCTATCTGCCCCCCAGATCCTCCCCAGTTCTGCCCCCAACACGCCCTTCTGGAAATTGAGTCAGGGGTCCTGAGACCGCTTCTTCCTCATCTTCTTCTTATCCACAGCACATACAGTCTTTTGGAGCTCCTTCAAGGGTAAGGATTTGAAGGTTGTTTTGACTGTGGTGTATCTTGCTGTTCGAGCCACGGTGCAAATGTTCTTAAACAGACTGAAGGCCTGCCTTGAGAGAAGTCTAAAAAAACTTAAAGGAATTTAGAAAGTTTGATGTGAAATGGGGTAATAGGGTTGGGTAAACGTAAACTACTGTGCTAGAGAGTGACAAATTATACAACTACATTAAAACCTACATTTACTAGACAACTACTTCTAAAACCTACAAAAAGGTAAAAATTAAAGAAATCCATAGGCATCACTATCCTAATAAGCTAAGTTAGGCAAGGGACAAGCAAGATAGGGAAAAGCACAACATCAGCAGCACATGTAAAGGTTTGTGCCATGGCCTTTGCAAATGAGCAGCCTTGGTGAGCAATGCCCTTTTCCAGATGCCTCAAGCCAGCCAGTGGAACTTCACCTCCAGTCCACCTCTTTCAGTTGTGCAGGACTCAAAACAGCATGACATTCTCCACAACAAGAGGCAAGTGTGGCATACTGTAGAATGGCCAGGCTCTCACAGCACCACAGATCCATGGTTAAGTCAGATTCCTCTTACTGTCCACTTCACAGCTGCTTTGCTAAGTCACAGCCTTCTCTGGGATCACTCTGCCCACGAAGATGGAGATAAGCAATGCCTCTCGAGTACAGATGGGGTTTGCTGGTGCTGTTACCTTTCCACACCTTATTAGTGCATGTTGTGGCTCTTCTCACACCTGTCTCCAACTCCTCAGGACAGGAAGTGATTTATGAGAAACTGCTTGCTAGAACAGCAGTGGCAAAGCAAAGGCAATCAATGCACAGGTGTAGTTTAACACACACCCAAGTGTGAGAGAAGGCCCTTGCCTGCTTCTTATTCAATTCCTCCACCTGCAATTCCTGCGCTGTAATCCTGCTGAGAATTCAGAAGTAATCACTGGAGCCAGAATGGAGCCTGAGCTCAGCTGTTCTCTCCATCCATGTCCTCAGTGCTTCTTCACAGTGACCCATAAAGCACTTCAGCGAGTAAAGAATATGGAAACTGGCAACAGAAGGACAACAAGCAAGACCCTTGCCACTTCTTGTTCTAACAGCTCCCTCTGCTAACAGAAAATCAATCCACCACCTATGCTCCAGCCTACAAGCCAAGACCATCCCTCCACAGCCTGTACACCCTTTCCTGTTTGGAACTTTTGACAGAGATAGTAAAAGAACAGTCATCTTCATCAGATGCCCCATTCCAGCTGCAGAAGAGCCTGTGCTGGTAGTCCATGTGACTTGTTATAAGGGATCCTGGATGGCAGTGCAGTGGGCAGAGGAATCCGTTCCAGCATCATCCTGACTCTGCGAGGGGCTGCTCAGGTGATATTTCTCAGGAAAATAGAGGGTTTTGTGAATTAGATTTCTGACGGCAGAAACGTCATTTTTATCTATGGGAAAGAGAGAAAAACAGTTGAATGGGATTCTCAACAGGCTGTATGAAAGCCTCTTCCTCAAAAAATACCTGTAACTCTAGTTCCCAGCATATCACCTGCCAGCAGCCCTTCCTCTCTTTCTTCCTGTACACCCTCCACTCTTTTGCACTCACCTACACCCAGCTGCTGCAGGAGATCTGCAAACTCTGGGTCACCCTCCAGGATTTTCAACAGGTTGGTGGACTCCATTCTCTCCAGCTGCACATCCCAGTAGATGTAGATCTTCTGGCTGAAGCTGACATAAACCAGGCAGGGACTGTTGCTTCCTCCTTTGCATGCATAGAGGCCTGCAGAAAGCAGAAGTGTGGAGATCTGACTACTTCCGAAAGGACAGTGAAAGCAAACAGGTAACGTCTCATGATGAGATACCAAAGCTGTTAGCAGAAAACAGCAAGCATCTGAGCAGAGACATGGGCTTGGGTATACAATACCCCTTTGAGACAAACCAAGAAAGTGTCTCTAAACTGCAGGAGGCTTGGGGATTTGCAAGCTGCTTCTTGCAGGTCTGAGAGAGGGGACTGAGCAAAGCCAAGGCTCGGGCTGGTTCCATGGGGCTCCTTATCTCTACTTGGGAACAGCTTAGAAGCCTGCAAATTCAAAAAGCAGTGGGCAGGACGAGAGACGCCTGTAGCACTCCCAAAAAGGACAGGATAAAAACCCCAAACCATCAAAGAAAAACCTCAGCATCACCTCCTCTCACCCCTACTTTTCCCAATGCCACCAGAGGAAAGACTAGCTGGGCCTTCTGCAGTACACACAGAGGGAATTATTCTCCACTGCAGACGGACAAAGGATTCCAGGACTCCAAGACAGGATACTAGCTTTGAGGGAAAAATGCTGTGAGGGCTGGCTTTGCAGTCAGGCTCCCCACCTGCACAGAATGCACTGACATTCTCCTCTGCTTGAAACCTGGCTACAGTCCGATTGTGGTCGATGATGTATGTCTGACCATCCCACGCACAGGCAATCACCTCCTCGTGCCCATTGCCCTGCAGGAACCAGAAGACTGCATATTAGCAAGAACATCACCTTTTCCCAGGGACTGTCAAGAATCTTTCTTGCTTGCTCAGAGACAGAACACTAATGTCTGAACGAAATGTGACTCTGGGACATCTTGTCCAGATATTTTGCAGTTTGAGATCATCTCTCTTCTCTGTAGTAATCATAAGAGCAATTCTTAAGAGTTCGTAGACAATCAGGGTGTTAGCAGTGTGCAAAACCATTCAACTTTGCAATAAGATATGAGAGCAGTTGGAGAAAACATTTTTTGAATGGAACAATGGAAACTAAGCTCAGTAGGTCTAACTGGCAGGCACAGCTCAGCCTCTTGCAGGTGGACAGACTGACAAGAGTGCAGAATGTACTGCCACAGTCAGAGCACTTTGCGTCATCCTGGGATAATCCCAGCCTTTTTCAGCTGAGTCACACTCACTCTGCCTTTCCTAAATCCATATATACAAAGCTGTGTTGAGTTTTTGCCTTCATCCCTCCCAGCCCTATTCAGATGCTCACCGTAACATCCAGCTTTTCCAGAGCAAACAGCTGGTGATCAACTTGAACAGACCAGAGCAGCTTGTCTGCTCCCTCCATGAGTTTCAGTGTCCCTGAAGGAAGAAAAAAATAATACTGTCTTGAAAACATTAAAGGGGGGCAATATGTTTGCTTATGCTGGGCCCTACACACTCCTTCAACACTCAGGGTTGCTGAGAGTTGGCTGCGAACAGCACAGGCATGGCCTCTTGGCTGCTGAATCCCTACTGGACACTTAACCCCATTCGTCTATTACCCAGATACACTGTGACAGTACTGGGCAGGGGGGACCAGCCATGAGAGTGGAACATAAACATGAGTCTGTTTTCATAGGGGCCTCCATGCCTTCATAAAAAATATGTCAGCAGAAGGAGTCTTTGGGTCAAATTCTCTTGCCTGACCCAGGAAGGGTTTCTGAAGCCCAGTTTCTCCTTCTTTCAAAAATCAAAAGCACTGAGCCCCTAGTTCCCTGCTTTGAATTAGTGTCAGGCCTTGTCCAGACCACAGGCCTTTCTTTCACGACAGCGGCAGGACTTACCATCCAGAGTACAGAGGGCAAAGAGACCTGAGCCACTATTCTCACTGGAGCCACCTGTAAGTACAAAAGAAAATTGCTGGAGTTGATGCCACTTTTTAAGTGTTGTCCCCTCTTTCTCCTGAAAACAAAAAAAAAAAGATCCAGAACAAGCTGATCCATCTTGCCCTCTTTTTTATTTGCCCAGTTGTGTGCAAGACAGCGCTGACAAATGTGACTAGTTAAATCTAAAGAGACTCCCCTGACCACTCAGCTGCTTCAGCCCTCCAGTAAACCTCTGCCTAGCTACCAACCAGCAAACACATGCAAGGTCAAGTTTTAAAAATGATATCACACTTGGAGAGAGAGGGGACTGGAGCTGTGTTCAACTAAAGCTGCATTTAATCCTTTCAGTGACAACATAGGAGAGACACCGGCTCCCTGAGGTCTGCAGGAGCAGTCAGGGACAAGCCAACAGAGCTGAAAGCAAATAGGCAGTCTCCCCAGAATAACTGGAATGCAAGACTACCTCCACTGCCCACAGACAGCTCCAAGCTACAGCCCTCTGCACACTCCTGAGTTGCAAACTACTCTGTTTCCACAGATCAGCTTAAAGCAAAGTCAGCTGGTTGAGTGCTCAATTGCCTCTTGTTGCTCATTCACCCAGACAGGCTCTAATCCAAAAGATCTGCAATGTCCCCCCTACAAACTGGTCAGCATTGCACTCCTCAGCTGTTTCCTCACTGATGGTCCAGCATCAGTGGGCTTTTTTTACAGCATCTTCATCCCTTTTACTGTGTGCCTTCATTTTTCACAGACATCTCTCAATTGATGCAAGGCTTCACATGCAGTGATATAATTGATTTCATGCTCTGTTGACTATGTTGCTCACAGCAGCATCAGAGATGCTGAAAACATGACAAGCTTAGGAATCAGGAAGGAAAGGTACTCTGAGGAAGGGGAAGGGGGCGGGGTTCAGTGGACAGCTCTTCTCCCCAAGCTCTAATTACCTTGGACAACCTAAACAATTCTCAGTCAGCACTGCAGGGGGCAATACTTGGGCAGAAAACAAGAGAAAGTGATCTCCATTTGGAATTTTCTGCTTTCAATTATGTGCATACACACTCCAAGGGGGAGTGAAAGCTGCCTACTCTCCATAGGTACCAAGAGAGGGTTCAGCAAGTGCACCAGGGACAGGTCAGAGCACAAAGCAGTTACACAAGGAAAGCAGTGGAAGTGTGTAAGAAAAGTCTGGATGCAATAGCAGTGTGTCAGGAGTGAGAAAAGCCAGCAGCTGTGGACAGTTTAGATACAACTGCTGAACAGAACACAGTGGAAGGGGACAGAAGACAACAATATGGGATATGGAAGCAGCTCTGGAGATGTTGGGACTGCATAGGAGAAGGAGGAGCAGCATGTAGCTGCCAGGTATCGAGATTCCAGCGCTAAGAGGTAGTAACAAAGGTGAGGCTGTGGGAAGGAAGAGGTGCATCTTGGGAATAAGAAGAAGGCATAAGCTGCAGTCATAAGAAAGCAAAGACCAAGGACATCTGTAGGAGCACAGCATGGTAGCCATTCAGATGGACTAAATGCAGGTCAGTGGAGGCTGCAGAGAAACTGTTGTGCTAAGTGAAGAATAAGCACTACCTAGGAAAGGACAAAGGCTATAAAAAGCTCACATGCAAAAATCCAACTGTGGTCCTTTGGGAGCAGCTAAGGGCAAGATCCCTCTGCTCTTGCAGCTGCCTCCCACTGTTATTTTTCTAACACAGGAAATCCAGTTTCTTCTTGGACTGATGTAATGAAAAACTGCCCCCTGAAAATCAGGGGCAACTGCTGGGCCACAGACCCCAAGCTGATAATCTCTCACCTCGGGCAATGCTACCAATTAGATGAGTGGAGACATTCTTGTTGTGAATCCGTCCAGATGTTTGGTGTAGGATAACATCTCGAACAGGGGCCTCTCTAGGGAAAAGAGAAAGACATCAGGGACAGGTTAGGGAACCATACCTGAGTCTATGCCACAACAATCTCAAGAGCAGTGTACTCCAAAGCTCCACAAATCCAGAGACTGACAGAGTTTCTGAACAGGTTAGCCCTTTAATGGTAAAGGCTAAGTAATAGGGTATGTGCCACCCCAGGTACAAAAGGAACTCACAAATATTTAAAAATCTAAAATGAGAATGATTTTATGCATCGAAAAAAACCAGAAAGAGCTCAAAAAGAAAAAACTGTAAGGCACGTATTCCAATGAAGGAGAAAGAAAAGACAATTTTTATTATTACTGTCACATAAATCTGGCTGCTTTTCACTCCAGAAGCATCTGCCCAGGGTTCAGTAAGTTCATGAGTGACTACTGTCTGGGCCTGGTTTCTACCTAAGAGGGTACCATTCCAGTGAGGTTTTTAAGACATCAAGGAGACTTGCCTAGCTCCCCTGCTGCTGCAGTTTTTTTGTCCCTGCCTTGAAGTCTTACAGAATACCACAGAAGCACCTGAATTCCCCACAAGGATCCTTCCAGCACCAAGACAGTAACAAACACCTCATCACCATTCTGATTGCTCTGTAGTCATTTATAGGACTGGCTGCCAGGGGTCTGTCTCATTAGGACAGCCTCTAATTGCCTCATCAGGAAAAAAACCAAGCAAACGAAGCTAAAATTTCATTCTGGGCTTCAGACTAATTCAGCTTGACCCAGCCTTTCAGTTGTTGCCCTTCCCACCATTAGATAGGTCACTGGCTTGCACACTACCCTTTCTCTGGAGGTCAAGGTCACTCATGTCCCTCCCTTAGCTCCCAGTAACCCCCTCCTCAGTGATCTCATTTTGTCTCTCCCCTTGCCCAACCCAAAAGAGTGGAATACAATGAAAGCAGTAGTATCCATCTTTGTGACATACATGAAGGGTGTCCTTGGAAGCTCTGGTGCAGGTGGGCTTAAGTGACGAGCTCCCAGCAGTACAGCAGGACACCGAAGCAAGGACAGTGACAGCACTGCCCACCTCACAACAGCTGTGTGCTGGCACCCCCTTGTGACGGGCCTCCACAGCAGCATTTCCTCGTGTGCCCGGCAGGAACGCCCCTCACCTGCTTGAGGCAGAGCCGTCCCTTCCCGTGGATGTGTCCCGCTGCTCCGTGTCCCAGGTGCACAGCAGGATGGCATAGCCACAGCCTGGCTGCGACACCATCAGCTCCGGGGAGCCATCAGGGCCCAGGTTCACAGAGAGGCTGTCCACCTACGCTGGCAGAGACAAAACACTGCCAGAGTGTTTTGAGAACTTTGAACACCTCCGAAAAGTTTACAGTGCTCCTTGACCCTAAATCTGGATATGGCAAATCTTCTGATAGAGCTGAGCCGGAGCTGAACAAATTCAGCTAGAAGCAAAATGTCCACGTTCAGTAAAAGGTTGTTTCCTTACCAAAAACCACTTTAGAACAACAGCAGTACTTTCTACTAATGCTCTCTAGTTGGGCGAGAGCAACTGTTTCCCAGACCAACCCAGCAGCTGTTCCACATGTACAGGACAACCATTGGGCAAATTCCCTTTTAAGCCATCAACATGACAATTGTTTTGTTCATAGGACTGAGATTTCATACTTCTTCCCTTGGAAAAGACCCTTCTTGATGACTGTATGACAAGTACTGCTCTGAACATCCTTTTTTCTTACCTGACCTTCCAGCAGCCATTTCTTCAACAGGAGCAGCTGGCCAGAGACGTGGTCTGAATTCTCTGATGAGTCCTCCCAGCGGAAGGCACGCACCACTCTGTCAGTGTAACCCACCACCAACTCACACTTCCCATCTCCATCTGCAGGGAATAGAAGATGGACTCTGTCAGGCTCAGTAGCCCCTAGAGCCCCAGAATTCAGAAACCACTGTGCTGGTTTCTATAGGTAGCATCCCTGAGGATCCCAATCCTGTAATGAAAACTCACACTTCAGAAAAATTCCTAAAGTTCTTGCCTCTTTTCTCCATGACTTGGCTGTGGTTTCCTAGAGTTATCTTTTTTCAGCAAGATAGTAATTTCCTTCTGCAAGTCCCCCACAGTTTCTCTCCCCTCCTGCCCCACAAACAAACTCCCTCACCCTGCACTCCCACACCAACTTCGTGGCTTACCGATGTCATTGATCAGCATGACCTTGGTGTTGGCTGGAATGTGCTGCCTGAACACTGGGTTCTGCTCTTCTGCTGCTGCCAACTCATGGTGTCCTGAAGCATCTGGGTGTTTTGGAGAAGTCAGGTCAAAAAGATGAAACCAGCCTTCTGCACTCACTGCCACCACGAAATTCTATACATGAAGAAAAAAAACTTTTTGATTCTTCCTCTTTTAGGAACTGCAGAAGCTGTCCCACAGCAGGGCAAGGGAATATACAAGAGTAGATCCATCAAGATCAATGACTGCTACAGGAGGTTTTTGGCCAGCATACAAACTACTCAGGCGCTGGCAGGGACAAAATTTCTTGTTCATCTTTGTCAGACTGTGCTATCAAGCTGATGTGTGCATGCAATCCTCAAACAACGTGTGGCTTTCTCAATGCTCACGTCAGTTCTGCTCTGCACCAGGGCAAACACAGTGACAGTATTTTGGGCATGGTGCCTAAACTGGGACCTTCAGACTCATTGGTCCTGGCTCAACCTCCAGAAACAGCAATCCAACAAAAGAAGTCATATTAGAGCCAGTGGAATTGGCTTGGGAGTCCAGACTATTCTGTGTCTCAGTCTTGTTTAGATGACCTTAAATGCACACAGCCAAGTGGCAGAAGGGCCATGGCCCACAGCAGGCATCAGCACAAGCAGAGCAAAAGCCACTGAGCAAAATAAGCAACCCTCAAACCACCAAGGCCTTGTGGTGCTCACAGAGAGGCACATGGAAATGAGTAGTGCTCTCTGAATATAAAATGGATTTCCTTGCTTACCAAAACCTGCACATGACTCATAGAAATATACCAATTACATGTAAACAGAAGAACAGTTTAAAAACAGTAGTGCTAAAACTCTTTGAACAAGGGCAGATCCTGGTGTGAAAGCACCAGCAATCTGTCCTCCTCCACACTCAGTACATGACATGACCCTGCTCTCCTAAGCACCTCCCACATGCCCTACAGACACAGCTGGGAAGAGCTGGGCTCCTCTCACCTTTTCTTTATTGCATACATCTCCCACACCAACACACGTGAGCTGCAAAAGAAAAGAAGGCCATACATGAGAGAAGGCAACAACACCCAGCACTTTAGGCTAAGCTTCTGCCCTACCCCTCCTCTCTCATAAAGCGTCTCTTGAACTCTAAACAGCCTTTTGAAGGACAAGAAGAGGAGACTCAGGGACAGAAACACATCTGTCACACAACTGGTCAGAGCCCTGGGTCAAAATCCACAGCGCACAGAGCAGGGTCAAGGTGGGACAAAATTCCAGTTCCTGTGTTTATTCAGCCCATGGGGCCAGCTGTGGGCAAAAGCAGGGTCTTGCATAACTACATGAAAGGCATCAGATCCAGTTCAGGCCTGTCATTCCCCTCTGCCCTACATATTCCTAGGTTATGGACAAGGATAGCTGGCTGCACATACACCAAAAGGCCCGACCATTTAGAGATTTTGTTGAGAACTGACCATTCCTTGGCAAGATCGCACAGCCCAGGGTTTGCTGTCATCGTTCTTGTAAACGTAGAGTTTTCCATTGGTGTCTCCCACCACTAGTTCATTCAGCTGTACAAGAGAAATGGGTTAGTAGGAAGAAGTCCACAATTACAGTAACAATATTCCCCAACAACAATCAGAACTCACATCTAAAAGTCACTCAGTGGGAAGAAGCAGCAAAACAAAACAAGAGTTAAAGGGACAGTCTTGAATCAATAGGGAAAGTCTGGAAAAATATAAAAGCCCTAGTTTTACTCTTGCAGATAGAAGAGATAGAGTGTGTCCTTAGAGCAGCATCTCATTACCCGCTGCTTCTCTACTCACTGTTTCAGCATTGTGACACTGACCATTTTAACATCCTGCTCTGCTAATCATCATCACACCACCTTCCATCCTCCAACCTTGATTGACTTAAATTACCCAAGGAAAATGATGGCAACAAGGAAAACATAACCATCCAGAAAGAGGCTGCAAGAACACTTAATGTAAGATTTACACTCGATGTTCAGTCTCACTGATAAAGGGGCAAAGGTCTTTCAGAATGGTGATTATTTCTTCAAAGATGACTGCTAAAAATCACCAACCACCATTGCTGATGAGCCTACTCCCACTATCCCACCTCCTGCATCATGCCTCTGTGTATTCAAATTGCATGCATTCCATAATTCCCTGCACTCCTTACCCTATATAAAATAACTTCTTGTGGGAGTATTTGTTTATTTACCTCATACCTAGCCAGGCACTTTTCAGGATAAGGCCGTAATAAAATTTAACTGTTGAGGAGAAGGAACAGTTTACATATACCTGGTTAAGCTAACCCCTTCCTAGTTACAGACAAATCAGCTACAACAAAACTAACCATCTGTGGGGGCTGACAGCAGCATTCCCAATACACATCCATCCCTCGCACAGTTTAAGAGACACCGAGGCTTGGCTCTGCCCTGTTTGCGATCTGCTGTGCCCCAGCAAGGTGCTTTCCCACACCCCTACATCCCCACCACCGCGACGGCAGAGTGTCTCTCTTCGGGACCAAAAGCCAACCTCCCCTCTGGATGGACACCATCCAGGCCCCACGCCAGGGGTGACCAGCCCATCCAACGCCGGTGCGAGCCCCGAGCAGCTGCAGCCCGGAGCCACGGAAACATTCCCTTGGCGAGGGAACTCCAGCGGGCATTTGGACCCCAACCCTGCACCTCTGACACGGCTCGAACTCCCCCTGTTCCTAAGAGTGGAAGCCCCGCCAGCCCTCTGGGGCCGCACCAAGCCGCCCGGTCCTTCTCCCTCAGCCCCATTGTGGCGTTCCCGGGGCCGCCGCCCGCCGTCCGAGCGCGGCCCAAGCCCGGCCCCCGGCCCGCCCCGCCCGCAGCGCCTCCCGCCGCCCCCGCGCTGCGGACCGAGTCGTTGTCGGCGTCCCCCAGGCAGATGGCGTGCGGGAAGAGGCTGCCCGCGAAGTCCAGCGCCACGCACTGCACGTAGCTGACCGAGCGCATCCCGCCCGCCGCAGCCGCGGGCACGCAGCGAGCCGGGAAGCGCGGGCACACAGGAGCCGGGAAGCGCAGGCACACAGGGAGCCGGGAAGCGCAGGCACCCAGCGAGCCGGGAAGCGCAGGCACCCAGGGAGCCGGGAAGCGCAGGCACCCAGCGAGCCGGGAAGCGCAGGCGCGGGAGGGAATCACGGGAGCGCGGGGCGGAGCTCCCGGCAAAGACCCCTGCTTTCCTCTTCCAGAGGCGACAGCGAGCCGGGGATGCTCCTGTTACTCCCAAAATTAGCGCACGGTTATCACACGAACACCGCCCGGGATGAAAGGTTTTTTTTTTTTATAAACCGAGAGAGACAGATGGGTGTGGTTTACAAAGTCAGTATCGTAATTCTTTATTTTAAGCATTTTTTTTTCTCTATAAGGACATACATAACGAATAGTTTATATTTGAAGTTTACATGCATGACCTCACTGATAAAACACTAGTATGCCGCCTTCTGCTGGCAACTAGACCCATTTCTAACGACAGCACGGAACATCCTTTCAGCTGCCTGAGTAAAGCATGTTTAGTGTCCTTAGTAGGTTACATTCTTAAACATTTCATAGTTCGTTATGTAGTAACAATGAGGGCAAAGCAGTACTTTTAAGACGGCTCACACTTAACATATCCACCATTGACTCTAGAATTTTTTAGATGTGCTACAGAAATCATCTCACTTTTTTGCTTTCACAAACATGTAGTAGAACTGTCGTGCCTGTGGGAGACTTTAGAAAACTGCTGTTCAACAGCTTATCATTAGGACTTGGTGCTATGGTTATTTTAACAGCAGCAACAGTTTCCGTCAGAGGCTGTTATTTCCAGTAATAATTACCAACAAATCAAGGTATTTACTTGCTGGAGAGAAAGTACTCTTGCTTAGCATTCCTGCCCCCTTTCACACTTTTCCATGTCTATTAAGCCCTTGTTGTAACTCCAGTCGACACCCACACTGTGTTGTTTCCCACAAGAGGCAATAATGCTTTGGTACAAGTTTTTCCACATACACATGTTGCTATCAAGTTAGAACTCATGAAAAACACCTGTATTACCTGGCAGCACTAAGATTTTATTAGGCAAATCAAATCAGCATTTCCTTAAACATGATCTACCAAACACTCTATCCTGCCTCTTCTCCTATCCCACCCCCACACCACTGAAGCTTAGGGCACTGCTATACTGTGCAGAGCAGGGCAGCTCAAAGCTCCCTAAGCCAGACAGCCGAGCAGCAGGTGGTGAATTTATCATCTTGGACCCAGTACAATGTGTCAAGCAGCTCTTGCCATTTTTGTGACAGTGCAGTTTTACAGCTGCCGTTTCTGAGCTCAATATCCCAGCCCCAAAGAACCCCATAAGTAAGCACTTATACAGTATTTCTGTCTCAGGAAAGGAGACTGGGAATTCAAATTAAGATTTCCAACATAATTCATGTTAAAACAGAGATACTCTCTGCAATATATACACAATTCCAGCCCATTGCATGCCATGCAAATCTTTCTCACCATTAAAAAAAAAACCAAAACAAAACAAAACACAACCATTTTTTTTTATCTGAGAAGAACGGATTATCTACCTTCCTTCTGCCGAGGAGGCAAGAAGTGCCCCTGCAGCTAAAATGGTCTTAAAACAGGACACTGGAGATGCTGAGTTTAACACTACACGACAGGATAAACAGAACAGCTGAGTTTGAGTACTATGTTCCATGCCTGCAGACAAACAAAAAACCCACCCCAGCAAAAAGCCCCCACAAAACCCAAAAGCACACCCACCCCCAAACAAGACACACAAACTGCAGAAAGAAGAAGAATACCAAGTAATTGCTTTCTTGTGAGATGGGGATAAGCAGATAGTAAAATCACTCAGGAGTTTATAGTTCATTAGGATTTAGAAGTATTTGTAATACGTAAACCATTATCACTTAACTTTCTCTTCACAGCCAGTCACTTTCAGGTATAAATATTGTAGGGTTTTTCCTCTGGTCCAGTTTTACAACGTGGGGGGCAAAGAGGAAGGTAGCAATATGAACAGATAATAAGCTCTATGCATAGGTTACAGACTTGCTTTTTGAACAGTTTTCAGCAACATATTTTTTCCTCTTGCAAATATATGGGTAAATATTTCATCAAATATTGTAGGAATTTTCTATGGTAATGAACAAACAACATAGAAAAATAATCAAGACACTGTGGCTATGTGGATGAGAAAACACTGAATGAGCAAAGGGCAGTAAATTCTCTCAATTCTGTGCAAATTCCAGTAAAAACCCACAAAAAGTTCAGTTTTCTTGAGTTTAATTGGAGCTTTATTACTTAAGCTGTGACTTCAGTCTTCACCTTCAGCAATTTGCAAAGAGGAGGCATACAAGAAAAGTTACAATATTTAATGGAAGGGACTCCCTACTGAACATGGGGAAAGAGGGCAACCCTAGGGCAGAACTGGGAGTGCCAATTTGTTCTGAAGTCTCATGTGAGGACTCCTGGAAAAAGCTGATTACTTGAAAGAAATCAAGGAAATAAATGTAGAAAGCAGAACCTGGGATTCAAGTAAGCTGGAACCAGAAAGAAACAAACATCAATGACAAAATGGGAACTACCGACCTGTCAGCCTCAGCTCTGTGCCTGGGAAGATCATGGAACAGATCCTCCTAGATGCTATGCTAAGGCACATGGAAAACAGGGGGGTGATTCAAGACAGCCAGCACAGCTTCACCAAGGACCAGTCCTGCCTGATAAACCTAGTGGCCTTCTGTGATGGAGTGACTACATCAGTGGACAAAGGAAGGGCCACAGATGTCACTCATCTGGATTTCTGTAAAGCCTTTGACACAGTCCCCCACATCATCCTTCTCTCTAAATTGGAGAGATGCATTCAATGGGTGGGACTGTTAGATGGATAAGAAATTGGTTGGATGGTCACATCCAGAGGGTAGTGGACAATGGGTCAGAGTCCCGATGGACATCAGTGACAACTTGTGTCCCTCAGGGGTCCATACCAGGACCAGTGTTATTTAGTAACTTCACAAATGACACAAATGAAGGGTTTGAGTGCACCCTCAGCAAATTCATAGATGACACTAAGCTGAATGATGCACTTGACACACCTGAAAGATGGGATACTATCCAGAAGGACCTGGACAAGCTCGGGAAGTGGGCCCACGGGAATCTCACAAGGTTTAACAAGGCCAAGTACGAGTTGCTGCACATGGGTTGAGGCAAGCTCTGATATCAATATAGGCTGGGCATAAACAGATCAAGAGCAGCCCTGCTGAGAAGGACTCGGGAGTGCTGGAGGATGGGAAGCTGGATATGACCTGGCAATGTGCACTGGCAGCCCAGAAAGCCAATTGTACCCTGGGCTGCATCAAAAGTAGCATGGCCAGCAGGTTGAGGGAGGTGATTCTGCCCCTCTGCTCTGCTCTGGTAAGACCCCATCTGGAGCACTGCATCTACCTCTGGAGTCCTCAGCAAAGGAAGGACATCAACCTGTTGGAATGAATTCAGAGGAGGCCACCAATTAGAGGGATGGAGCACCTCTCCTTACAAGAAAAGGCTGAGAGAATTGGGATTGTTCAGCTTGGAAAAGAGAAGGCTTCAGTGTGACCAAATTGTGGCCTTCCAGTACCTGAAGGGAGCCTACAAGAAACATGGAGAGACTATTTACAAGGGCAAGTAGTGACAACACAAGGGAGAATGGCTTTAAACTGAAAGAGGGTAGGTTTAGAGTAGATATTAGGAAGAAATTCTTTACTGTGAGGGCAGTGAGGCACTGGAACAGGTTGCCCAGAGAAGTTGTGGATGACTCATCCCTGGAAATGTTCAAGGCCAGGTTGGATGGAGCTCTGAGCAACCTGGTCTAGTGGAAGGTGTCCCTGCCCCATGGCAGGGGGCTTGGAACTAGATGATCTTTGAGGTCCCTTCCAACTCAAGCCATTCTATGATTCTATGAAAATGCAAATAAACCAAGCAGAGTAAATCCAGACAGAACCCAAACAGTAACAGAGGCTGAATGAATAAATAAAGTCATTAGGATTAAACCGGATTTATGCTGCCACACAGCTTCTTGAACAGCCACATAAAGCTGTAACTGACTGTGGCATGATGGCTTCAGCCTCTGCTCCCTTGAAGCCACTATCCAAACAGGTAGAAAAATAAAGGTCTAATTCACTGGAAATTCTTTCATTTACAAAACTAATGGAATAGGGTTTGTTTTTATGCTTCTGCTTCAACTTCTGGTTTATCTTCAACTCCATTCTGCTCATCTTTCATTTCTGCATCTTCAGTGTGGCTGGTCTGAAGAGTAGCAGCTGACTAAATGGGAGAGACAAAGAAAATATATTAATATAATTACAAAACTGCTAGCACAAACATTGTTTGATTCTTATCGCTAAGAAGCCTAGTCTCCCCTGCAAGACTGAATTAATATAGTAGGATCTTCAGCCAAGAGAAACCAAAAATTGCTTTTCATTTTTCATGCATCTAAGAAACCAGATGCAGTTTAGAAGAGGCTGAGATATAATACTGATATTAGGTGGTTATGATTCATAATGCCTGCACATGCTTGCCATACAACACTTTCTTAGAGAAGTCTTTTAACCAAAATTCATTTACAAAGCTTCTGCACAGAACTGCTTTTGTCCTGCTTCAGTTTCAATGTGATTCACTTTTAGCCATTCCCATAGCCTACCCCTCACCCCCGCCAATCCGTATGAGGCACACTTGGGCTCAGCACATAAAGAAATATCTTCGTTGGACAACTTGTTTCATGAAGAGTGACTTCAACTCAACAGTGACTTGGATGTCATCTGTAAAAGCTCATCTGGAAGAAAGTATGATCTGACAAGGTGGCTGCTCTAAAGCCCTCTCCCTTGCTGCATCTTCCAGTCCACACAAAAAGGTGTAGAAGGCAGAGAGCCATGTGGCAGGGGTCCAAGGTTAGTTTTTTCAATAGGACATAACCAGCACATCCTGACCTTGCAGTAATTTTCAAACACAGTAAAGGGAAGTAAAAATGTCTTGGCCTTTTCATCTCAAAAACTAGTGCAATGAAATTGCTATTCCACCTGCCAGCCTAGTACCTTGAACCTTCTGTTTTATTATGATGTTGGCAGACAAAAATGTGCAAAGTCTTAGGCACGCAATGCTGGGAGAGGTGAACAGGAGAGGAAAAAGGGGCAGAATCCTTTAATGTTACATCAGCTTGGCTGCAACCACAGTTAAAAGAACATCCAGGTATCAAAGGTCAGCCTTTCATCCTTAGAAGCATTCTATAAAGCACACAAGAGCCAAGTCTTCTCTCCACAGAAAACCTGTTAGCTAGCAATCCTGGGCTTAAGATAAAGTAATAAATGACCTGCCCTTTAAAAGTCCACACTTTACCTATGTGAACTATTTGAATTCATGAAATGAACTACTGATGCAAGAGTGGATGGTGAATTCAACAGACTGTAAGACACACAGTCTCAGTAATTTCAAAACTATGGTCCAAGCTACCTTCTTAGCAAGCAGAACACATTGGGTAAACAAACAGTCTTCCCCAGAACTTTGATCTTCTACTACCACCACTAATGGAGAAACTGTTGGAGCTAGAGTAAAGCAAAATTATAAATGCATTAATAGGAAAACAAGTTTTTCATGCAAGAAAAGGACCTCAAGACTGACCTACAGAGTAAGCATCCTTTACAGTTTACAGTTCCATCAACCCCATTTCATATAAAACCATGTCCATTTAAGGTAGGCCAGATGGCTTGGAGACAGAAAAAAACAATTCACATTCCCAAGACTATCTAACTTGTTGAGAAGAATTCACCACGCCAATGGCATCCTGGTTTGTATCAGAAACAGTGTGGCCAGCAGGACCTGAGCAGTGATTGTCCACCTGTACTGGGCACTGCTGAGGCCACACTTCAAGTACTGTGTCCAGTTTTGGGCTCCTCACTTCAAGAAAGACATTGAGGTGCTGCAGCAAGTCCAGAGAAGGGCAACAGAGCTGGGGAAGGGTCCGGAACACAAGTCTGATGAGGAGCAGCTGAGGGAACCACAGGTGTTTAGCCTGGAGAAAAGGAGGGTGTAGCAAGGTGTGGGTCAGCCTCTTCTCTCAGGCAACGAGTGACAGGACAAGATGAAATGGCCCCAAATTGTGCCAGGAAAGGTTCAGATTGGATATCAGGAAAAACTCCTTCACTGAAAGCCCAGGACAATGCTTGAGTCACCATCCCTGGAGGTATTTAGGTGTAGATGTGACTCTTGGGGAAGTGGGGTTAGTGGTGGACTTGGCAGTGTTGAGTTGTTGTTTGAGATCTTTCATTTATATTCAGTAGAATTCCAACCTAAAGGATTTTATGGCTTTAAGCTGATTCATCCCAAGCAGACAGGAAAACTGGAACTAAGTGCCATGTCTTTCCAGTATCCCAAACAGCCTGCAATGCAAAGATTGTGAGACTGCCTTTTGCCAAGAATATTATGCTTGCTTCAGCAACCCACTCGTCCTCTCTCAACATCAGATCTTGCTGTGTCCCACACCTAGAGGAGGAAGCAAGATTCCCAGCAGCTGTGCTAGCTGAAAGGAACCTTCACAACACAGCCTGACAACTGGCAATTAAATCCTGCCATTTCAAAAGTGAAGATGCCTAAGAATGAAATAATTCTGGTTAGTTGCTGTATCTTTACCTTCCTGAGATTTTTTCATTAAAGCCTACCAAAACTAAGATACTGTGTAGCTTTATACCACTACGTCTAGAAATACAAAATAGTTTCTTCCAAGCTCCAATAAGCAAGGACTGTTGACACCAGGCTGCCTTAGCCAAAAAGTAAAAAAGAAGAGATGGTTGTGAAGTGTTTCATGCAGGAAATTGTCAGCTGACAGTTTGAGACGACTGAACTGTCAGGATACACTCATCTGAGGACACCAGGCCTCTGGAAAGACTCAATGACACAGTTAACCACAGGTAATTAACATACCAACATCTAACAATTTTTTTATATTCTCCATGCGTATTCTGGAAAGGTGGACACAAAGATCTGAAAAAACAACCTCACAAGATGCAAGCTTCTGCACTCCCCAATGTTACTGAGGCAATTTGAGTATGATGAAAATCCCAGATTTATCTTAGAAGTTGCAGTTCTACCTAGTCCTTCTGCACCATCAGATCTAAGGAAAAGAAACAACACTGTCTTAGGATATATGACTTTCACTAGTAACTTGGAACGTTCCTTACTAGCTGATACAACCTTGTTATAACCTGTATCCACATACTGCCATTATTAATTGAATAAGTATTTACTGAAGTTCTAGTGAAAGCTTATTAGGAAAACCATCGATTTGTAGGATAATCAATCTGTGGTATTTGAAATGGAGACCATCAACCACATCTTAATGTCTCCATGAGAGGCAAGATGGTGCTCAGCACCATCTGTATGGCAGACATGAGGTCTCACCAGATGGGCCACCCAGGCACCAAGAGACAGCCTGTTCTTTAGAACAATTGGTCCAAGGAAAAAAGGTGCTTTTTTAACTGAAACATTATCATGTTTGTATCTCATCACTTCAGTTTCTTTCCGATTAACACTGGTCTGTTGCAAAGTCAGTTGAAATAAGTAAAAGCATTCTGTGCAGTGCTTGGTACTGCTAGCTTCTTCTTCAAACAAGATGGCCTCATAATTTTGACTGGTGACTATTCTGAGTTCAACCTCTGCTCCCCAAAGGAGTCTACCTGAATATTCTCCTGCTCTAATTATCTGTTCTAAGAAGTAAGCTAAATACCTAAACCTCTGTTCCTTGTCTAACACATGACACCACGTCTCGTAGTCTTCTGGAGTAGTGTTACTTACCTTTAAGTCTTTGTCTGCAAGCCTTTGGAACATGTTGGCGTACATCTTTTTCTCCTTCTCATGCTGCTCCCGTATTTTCTGCTGACAAGTTACCAGCTGCACTTTGGCAGCTTTGTTACTTGGATAAAGTTGTATGACTTTCTGGAAATCTCCTCGGGCCAGCTCAAAGTCATTGACAGCCAAATGCGCTTCTCCACGCCGGAAGAGGCCTTTTTCATTGTTGCTATCCAATTCGAGTGCCTGCATTAGAAAAACAAAACCAAAACAGATACAGTGGTGACTTTTCTTTTATAAAAACTATATGCAGTCAGAACAACAGAGACTGTTTGGAACTGTATCTTCTGATACAGACTCATGAGTCTTGTCAGGGCTTACTAATAAGGGGAGTAGAATACAGTAGAAGTTAGTACAAAGAGGAATTAATATAGTAGGCTATTTGACAGAGAACCAGCATGTCTAAGATTTAGTCCTGGCTCTAATCCAGCTCTTTGAAAGATGTATGCCAAGATGACTACCTTCACCAAGTGTTTCTAATTTCTAAACACTTGAATATTCTCCATGTAATGGCAAGTTAGAAAAAGATGTGGACAGTAATTATGTAAATCTGTTAGGTATTTTTAGTGTATTCAGTACTATCCAAATGCCAGCAGATAAGAAAGGCCCCAAACCACATGGCCTATTGTTTGTTACATTTCTAAAACAGAATATAAACTATCAGACTGCTTGTGCAGTTTAAGAATAAATAAACCCCTACTACCTTGTTGCAGTTTTCCAAAGCCTGTGAGTATTCCTTTAGCTTGAGATGGCACATAGCTAGATTAAGATGGGCAGCCAGCCTCAAGCTTTTGGCTTTTGATTCCTCCTCATCGGAGAGTCCTGATTCATGCTCCAGCCACGACACAATCTTCTTATACTGTAACGCTGCCCGTTTGTATTTTCCCTCCTGTAAACAAGGCAGTTCAATTATCACACAGCTCATCACAGTAACTTTTATATCCCTCTTGCCCCTTCTGCTTACCTTGAGCAATAGATCTGAAAAAAATATTTGATCAGAAAATAACTTCTATCATCAGAAAGATGCTAGTTCTGAAAACCATTCCTGCATAGGATCAGAAAATCTTTAGGAATACCTACTAGTTCCCCACTAAAGCTAAGGGTATATACTTGTCGTGGTTTTGCCCAACCGGCCAGCCCCTGGGGCTGAGGATGGTTTTGTCCAGGTGGATTTCCGGACAAAAAGGCCAATCAAAACTCTTAGTGACGCCTTTGCTAATTATATGTTTAAGAAAACAGAAGAGAAGGTTGGTTATGCAGTTGAAATTAGGAGTAGCAGCCATGTAGGAGAGGCGGTGGGCCCTAAGAAGGGCCAGGTCCCCTCCTCCTCCAGCTTGAGCCGGGGGCAGGTGTAGCACTGAAGCCCCCCTTCTCTCTTGTAAGAGAGTGGAGGAAAAAAAACAACTTTAAAAGACTGACTTCTTGGGCAAAAAACCACTGCAGAAGAATTCCAGCAAAGAGATAAGGGACCTCCAAGGTCAAAGCTGGCAGCCGTGAGAGAGAAGTGCGAAGGTAGGCCTGCTTCTTCCCTCCTTTTTGCTCTCTCCCTTCAGCAGGGAAAAGACTGAAAAATAACCTCTGCCACCTGTAGAAGTTTGTTGGAGTGAGGAGACTTTCATGCAGCTCACAGAGGAGCTTGTGGATGTACCAGGGAACAGACACTTCATGAGAGGGACTGAAATAAGGCAGAGTCCTGTTGAAGATTTATGACCCTGAGGTTTACACCGGAATGAAGACGGCTTGGGTAAGCTTGGGATCTCAGTGAGAGATCCATGCTGTTGGTGCTGGAGATCTGTGACCCTGAGAGAACCTACGCTGGAGCAGAAAACGGCTCGGGTACGGATGTTGAGATCCACGTGTGGGATCCATGCTAGACCCATGCCAGAGACGTCTATCAAGGACTGTTCTCCCGTGGAGAGGGACCTCCATAAAGAAACAGAGGTGGACTCATAAGCCATTATCCCCTGTGACCCCATGGAAGAAGATCCATGGTAGGCAAGTGTTCCCTTGCAAGCCCATGGAAGAAAAAACCTTCAGGGCCTGAGTAACCCCCAGCCTCCGGTCTTAGCCCAGGAAGGGGGTAGGCCCAGCCCTGGAGGCCAACACAGAGCAAGAGAAAGAGAAAGAGTTCCAGCTGTGACGAGAGTGTTGCAGAATTATTGAAGAGACCTGGAGCTCCGAGAAATGGAGAAAGAAACTGCTTCTAGTCCTTGGACTGACATAAAGGGGGGAAGAAATATTTCTGTAAATACATAGTACTTTTTACTTAAGTAGAGTTGTTGTAAATACAGTTCTTTAGTAGTTTTTATTTTACTAGTAATAAATGTTCATATTATTTTCCCAAATCCAGTCTCTTTTGTCTGCATAAACCTTCTCTCAATTTATAGTAATTGTGTGGGGAGTGTGAAAACAAATTGACCCAGAGCAAAACCACGACATTTTTGGTGGAGAATGTGGGCAAGGACTGCCCGGAGGGGCAGTGGTCAGATCAAATCCTGACAATACTTCACTCTGAACTCCCACCTTATATTCAACTTTTGATACAAAGAAAAAGGAAGATGGGGCATTTTCATAATGTGTTATGAAGACAATGGGAAACTCTTTCTTTAGCTGGTTAAATTGCTTGAAACAGCTTCTTCACAAATCTCTACACAAATGAATGTTGTTCATTCACAGCACTATCCCACAGCAGAACCCCAAATACTGTAACCTTGCTACTATTTCACATATGCCCTATGTAGGTACAGCAAACAGCTTTAACAGAGAACTCCCTGCAGAGTTAGTTCTTTGGGTAATCCAACTGAGTTTCTTTTTTTCAGACAACTTTCCCTCTAGTTCTCCCTGTAAAATCTCACAGAATACCATGAACACCACTCAGAAATGACAAAAGCTGTAATCATCATTATCAGCTCATGACACAGACTAAGAAATGCTATTATTACTTGGAGACTGTAACTTACCTTGAAGTATTGAGTGCCTCTCTCCTTCACAATGGAGCTTTGTTCCAGCTTCTCATCCGTGTTCATTTCCCAAGACTCCTTAGCCTACCCAAAAAGGAATAGTTCAAGTCAACTTCAGTCCAACAGTACAACCTCTAGGGAAATCAAGTGGCTATGTTGCTTCCCATAGTGAGATAGTGAGGTAGAGATAGGTTTGGCTTTGCAGAGCTTTGCACTGCTAATGGAAACCAGCCTAGAGCATGAGAGACAGCAACAGACAGGGATCCAACAAGAATAAGGGTCATTTCAGCCAAGAGCTCCAATGTGTCATCATCTCTGGCAACAGTGCCCTCCTTATTTCAGACAATTCAAGGATTCCACTGTCCTTGTTTAAGCTGCACTTGCACTTCTTCCCCCACCTCCAGGATCTCTCTGGGGTTTCATCTCTTGCTCCTACCTTTTCAAAGCTTTTGAGTTTCACTTCATACTGCAGCTCTGCATCTGGAGGGATCTGAAACTTCTCATTCCCAGTGCTTCCAAAACCATAGCTGTAAGATGTGAGTGGGATGGGGAGGGAGAAACAAAGAAGAGAGTTCAGAACTGTCCATCCAGCTATATTTTCTACAGAGGAAGATGGAGACAAAACCCCCATGCAAATCTGGGATGCCCATACATTTATTACAAGACATAAAGACCTGAATTCTAGGTACAATTCTAAAATTAGCAGTATAAGGTAGAAGAAATCAAGAGAAACCTAGTGTTGATTTCATTTATCTCTTACCAGTTCCTATTATTGCAGTTTTTTAGCTTAGCTGAAGGAAAAGCAAGTTATCCCTCCAACAAAAAAACAAACAAACAAAAAAAACCACCAAACCCAAAAACCCACAAAAACAAACAAACAAAACAACCAGCTTTCAAGGTATATACATTTTGCTTTATATTCATGGTCTGAAACCCAGTGTTTCCTTCAGTGCACCTGTATTTTAGTACTATTCTTAAAAGCAAAGACAATAAATACGAAGATTAAGTGAAGAGCTGTACACCTAACATACTGCTAATGAGCTGATAAACAGGAAATGCCTACAGAAAGGTTCTGTGAATTAACTCCAGTAAGAAGCTGCATATTAGCAGGAAAAACCTCATGATCAGATTGCTTTGCTTTTTGCTCTTACTAGGTTCAGTTCAAGTTTTAAAAACTTAATAAATACTGAAATTAAAATTAACACTTGATGAAAACAATCCATGCAACTCCACTTGTTTCAGATGTGTTCTCACTGTAATGAGAAAATTCTGCTTATATCTAGGACCATATATGCACTGTTATATAATAAGTACTAACTAAGAGGGACCACAAAAATCTAAGTTATAGAGCAACAAATTTTTTTAAATATTCACAGAGATCAACACTATAGAGACTTAAGTAAAACTTATTTGTTTCGTAGGGCTACTACTTCATTATGAAGTGGCAAAGAGATCTTAGCTCAATACTTCTCATACACCAGTTTTTACCACAGCACTGAAAAAAGCTGTAAAGCATTGTAACGAAACACTTAATTGTTCCCAGATTCTTAGTATAGGCCCTTCAAGTATCAAAAGATCAGGAAAAGTGTACCTGGGTTTGAGATAGAACACAGATTCCTCCGATTTCTCCATTTTTTGAATTGCTTTCTCCAGACCATGAGGAAGATCAAAGTTTTCACCTTCCCCGATCTCAAACCGCAATTCCCGCTTGTCAAAAACACGATCTCCATATCGGCCTTCAAACTGGACTAGTAACAAAAAACAGAACACAGATTAAAATCAGGAGATATATATAGGCAGGTAGCACATACAAAGTGCCAAAGCCTCCTTCTAAACAGTCTTTTTTAACAGCTACCTATGCATGGTGGCTACTGGCAGGAAACAGAACTTGTGCTGTTAAATTTAATAACCTCCTTTTTTTTGTTCATGTTTGTTTTTTTCCATTCCAGCAACAGGTCCCAGAACAATTTCCCCCTTGTTCCTCAGCAAATGGAAATACCTTATTAGACTCATCAACCTTTTGTGATCAGATAAGCACTTTAACAGATTCAGTATCACTGGAAGAACACAGTTGCTGCTGGAAAATGTAAACCTTGCTAGAAATAAGAGAATGAAATCTTACTCTAGGTTGTTAAGTTACTTCGTAAAGGAAAGAAAAGCCACGTATTCCTCTCTCTCAGGGCAAGGAGTTGTAGATTGTGAAAAAGGTTCTGCCATCTCACATGGTAAACCCACTTACTATTTGTGTCACAACAAACTTACTTTCTACAAGTGCATCCTCATTGGGCTTGGAGTAGCCCTCCCCTTTTTTACGGATTCTCCGGATGATGCCACCATCTTCTTCATCAGTGAGGTCCTCCCCTTGAACTCAAAAAGTTCTATCTGTGGAGGGAAGAAATGCCTTGCATTTATTCTCATTACACCAATTTGTAACTCACAGAATTTGCTCTACAGTGATCTTTGAAACTATAGCTATGCAGGGAGTCACTATCTTACTGACAGATTAATTTCATCAATGGTCAAATTCATATCAACTTTAAACTGCTTGGAATGGAGCTTCAACTGATTCCAAATGCTTATCCTGAAACAGTAAAACAAATTCAAGAATGTATTTTCAAACTTCAGCTATTCCCTACCCATCTCTTCATCCTCATACTCTTGTGCCACAGGACAGTAGTTTCAAAACTTCTGTGCATTCTCCCTTGCATGCCTGGACAGAGCCACTGTTGTCTTTTTACTTGTTAACTTTTCCCTTCTAGTCTCTTGCTGTATCACTGTGTATTAGTGGGATCGTTTCAGAAAAAAACCACTTCCAGAATGCTAAAACAACAAAACCATGATCCAGCCCACCTTTAATCTAAACTCCCTGCTGCAATAAATTGCTTAGAATTTTTAAGAGCTAGTGTTAATGTAGGAAATAGCTATCCAGTCTGAATCTTCACATGTCCTTCTAAGTCTCTAATGTAAATCATAGTTTCATGTGGGAGCACCATGATGAGATGGAAAAATAATCTAGTCACAAAAGATATTTGTGGTTGCTATGAAATTAATTAAAAAGCTATTTTGTATCCTATGTTTGAGTAAAACAATAGTAAACACAGTATAAAAGAGCAAGCCATTATAATCAGAATTGTTTAGACTACCTCATTTAAAAAAAAAAAAAAAGTTCAGGGCTAATGCTGTGAAGGTTCCTGCCACTGGACTTAAGATACCTGGAATGTAAAAGGAATTGAATATCCACCAACACAAAGAGTACTTCAACTTTTTATTTTGATGGACACCTAGTAATGAATAATATTCTGGTCTTTCTCTTCAGTCTTTTTGAAAAAAGTCAAGTCATTCCTGAACATTCTACTGACGGCCATACAGGTATGTGCATCCCTTTTTTTTTTTCTCCCAGAACTGAACAACAGTATTCTATGGAATAATCTACCCATATATATTGTTCTGCAAAAACAATCATGAGGAAGAAAAAAAAATGACTGAAACAACCAAACACCGCCAGGTCAAAAAACGAATCATAAGATGTCCATTATTTCAGGTCATAAAGAAATGCTGATGTAATGACGCAGATATGAAATCTTTTAATGTAAGTTTTAGAGGAAACTTGTACAAAATTTTGGTATAGTGTTAAGCAGGTGCAAAGGACCCATGCTGACATTGTTTCAAATAATAAAAAGGAAACATAGAAGCAAACACTAAAACAGTGGAAACTTAAAAGACTAAGTGTCTGAAGAGTCATACTAGTCCTAAACTACTTTAACTGTTAACACTTAGGAAAACTTTCTAGATCTAAGTTCCAACCCACACCCCCAATCAGGACACACCCAGCACTATATATTTGTTGCAGCCAGTCAGCTCCAGGCTATTTTGTTAGGGATGGAGCCCCTGGTGGTCTAGTGGTAAAGGCGCGGCGCTGTCACCGCGGAGACCCGGGTTCGATTCCCGGTCAGGGCCACTCCTGGGCAGGTGGGGCTCGTTAGCCCTTAAAGGCAACCCACCTACGTCCTAAGGACCTCGCTGCCACCGTCCAAGCTTGCTTGGCCCCGGCAGATGAACCTTAGGATTAAAGGGTGGGCTCAGTTCCGCGCACACTGTGTCTCACCTAAAAAATCCAATGCGCAGGCTGGAAGGTGTAAAGACCTTCCCCGGATCTTCACTCGTGAAGACTGGCCATTATTATTATTTTATTTTGTTAGGGAAGTACAAAACCATCACAGGCAGCTTCAGTGCTTTTCTTTCTTTCTGCCTTTTTTTCCTTTAATATTACTGCTTAGGAAGGCATTAGGGGATATCAAGGATCATGAACGAAACACTGATTACCCGGAAAATGATGGAGAGATCAGACTGGCATCATTAAGAAAAACCCACTGGGAAGTGAATAACCTGGATGACTACTTCAGATAGACTCAGTAGTAATCTGACAGACCAAATTCTGTCTTGCTTTGATTTGTACTTTTATTTATGAAAACACTGGGCATTATCTCATTGCAGGTCAATGAAAGCTTCTCTGCTTTGTACTGTCCACGCACATCCTGTGTACTAATGCTAAGCCTTTAAGAATGCTCCATTGTGCTGCCAAGGCACACGGTCTTGAGCTTGCATTTGAATCATCAGATCAGTGTTTTTTCCCTCCTTCTTGAATCCTGTCCTGATTACACTTAGTATCACTAGCATATGTGTGGAGCACACAGCACTCCAATGTAGTTTTGATCCAATAAGCAAGCCATGAGTAACTTAAGATTTATACATAAGAAGATGCTGTTTACCAACAGCTTTATGAGACACTATTTTTCAACAGCCAACTACAGAAATAATGGCATTAATTTTCATGTACTCAAAATGAGCAACTCGTCATCCCTTAGTGGACACTACCTATGCCAGCACTATTTTTTTTTAATCCTTCTGCACAAAATACATCTTTAATCCTATTACTCACTAGTCCATGGAGGAAAAAAAACCCCAGTATGCTATCCAAATGTAATACAAATACAATATCCAGCCATGTGAAGGTCAATAGCATCCTGGCTTGTATCAGAAATAGTGTGGCCAAGAGAACCAGGGCAGTGATCGTCCACCTGTACAGGGCATTGCTGAGGCCACACCTCAAATCCCTTGTCCACTTTCAGGCCCCTCACTGCAAGAAAGACATTGAGGTGCTGGAGCATGTCCAGAGAAGGGAAACAAAGCTGGTGAAGGGTCTGGAGAGTAAGTTCTATGAGGAACAGCTGAGGGAGCTTGGGGTGTTCAACCTGGAGAAAAGGAGGCTCAGAGGGTGCCTTCTTGCGCTCTACAACTACCTGAAAGGAGGTAGTAGTGACTTGGGGTCAGACTCTTCTCCCAGGTAACAAGTCCCAGGACAAGAGGAAATGGCCTCAATGTGCATCAGAGGAGGTTTAGATTGGATATTTGCATTAGAACAGGCTGCCCAGGGAAGTGGTTAAGACACCTTTCTTGGCGGTATTTAGGTGTAGATGTGGTACTTGGGGACATAGTTTAGTGACTGGACTTGGTAGTATTAGATTTAAAGTGGACTAGATGGTCTTAAAGGTCTTTTCCAGTCTAAATGATTTTATGATTCTATGTATAATTTACCCTTCTTAACAGATGCTACTTGTTTCCAATAAAATCTAAGTAGACTTTCACTCCCTACTCCATGAGCTACTTTTACCTTTCTCAGACATCAGATAAAACATTCAATCTTTGAGCAATCATTAGAGTTTTAAAACTTTCCATTTGCCCCCAACATAGGAGTCCATTCAATTGATTAAGTATTTTAGAGCAAGGTAATTTTTAAAATCCCACTTAAAAAGAATCTGCCTTCTCTCAGGTAGAATTTATTTCAAAGTAATTGTTGGAAAACTGAACTGTTTCAAGAGTAGGAAAAATATATCCTCTCCAAACACTGCTGAGACTGTCAGAGCATGCTTCAGAAACAGCTTTAGTATCATCCTCCATGGAAAAAATCAAACACAAGTCTCAGCATTCTGAGTAACCTTTTCCACTATTGCTATTTCCACACCCTTTTGGGAAGGGGGTTGGGGGAGTGACTTAAAAGATCAGTAGGAGACAAATTCTCTCCTCTCCTGGTGAGGTTAAGAGAAATAACTGGCTCCATTTCATTTTCTCAGCTACTTCAGAGTCTGTCACTGAGACAGTCCACCCTCCCAGCCTGCTCTTTCCTACTGCAAATCATTCCATAACTAACGCTAAAATTGAACACTGGAAACCATTCAAGTATTTTAAAAATGCCAAAAAAAAAGGAACCTGAGCCATTGCCGATCAGTAGCAGCCAGACTAAAACTTTGCCCACACTACCCAAAATTGACCATATTGTTTTCTCTAGAAAACCTAACAATCCTTTTCAAAACCCAGTTTTGAAAGCATATGGCATCACACATTTTCAACTGTGAAATATGACTTTTGCTTGTTTTTCAAGTGTACAGTTTTAATGACCATCTCTCACTTACCTCAAAAATCAGTGTAGCATTGGGAGGTATCTTTGGGGGGCTCCCAGCTGAGCCATAGGCATATTCTGGTTTACATGTAATCCGACAGATTTCACCAATCTTCATGGTCGCCACAGCAATGTCCCATGCTTTGATCACCTCACCTATACAAGTCAAATGTCAATCACATGACTGCAAGGCACACACAAAAGCATGATCAGCTGAAATTCAGCATCATCGCTTTTAGTATACAAAAGCTAAGACAGCAGAAACACTGAAGGACTTGTGCTCACTCTCACCTGCCTACATCAGTTTTAAGCCTAATTAAATTCTGAAGTTTCCTGGGGACCCAAATGTTGCTACATTTCTTCATTCCAGGTGTGGCTACTCTTTTCATAGAATTATACAACGGGTTGGATTGGAAGGGACCTGAAAGGCCATCCAGTTCCAACTCCTCTGCCAGGGGCAAGGACACTGCACTTCCTTCTTTAGAGAGAACACAAGTCATTTGAACACAGACACGGGCTGAAGTGCTTGGCACAGTCTCAAGTGTGAGGAAGTAACAATAAACTCTTCCGAAAGGAAGGTCTCAGGGTGAGAGATTGCCTGCTGGTGTTTTGAAAACAATCCAAACCAACAGCCTTTTCTCTCTGTACTTTATCAGTTGGCAAAGAGCAGCACTAATGGTAACTAAAAGTTACAAACATTTGTAACAAAAAGGGGGAGGAAAATAGAAATAGTATTCCTTCTGAAGCCAGAAAGGAACAGAAGTTGTAACAAAATCCTCTTTTTTTCAAGCTCTCCTACTTGCTGCTCTTTTCAACTCTATCAAGCAGCCTATTAATCTTGTATTAATAGGTACACTTATTATCTCAAATTTCAGTACAATTAATTAATCTCTTTTTTTAAAAAAGAGATATTATCCATTTATTTAAAAGCAGCAGGTAAGGAACTGCCAGGGAAAACTGTAATATTGAGGAATAAGATTTACTGGAAAAAGGATACTTGGATTTCTGCATTCAAAAAATGAAGGATTTTGATAATGAAGAGATGCACTGCTCAAAGATTCATATTTGGGTTAACTTGGGAATTTTGTGTAAAAGGGAGTATATTTCATCATGCAGCAGCTGACAGCTGGTTCTGTGCACCCTGTCCCAGTATCTGGTCTCAATGGAATACTCTTGAACTGGAGTCTGCCAAACAAACAAACAAAAAAAACCAACAAAAAAACAACCAACAAAATGCATATTGTGGCTATTTAACTACCCTTTGTCACTACACTTCAGGGCAGATTTGCTCCCCAGGAGTGCTTTGTCTGAGGCCTGTGAACCCTTCATCAGGCCTCAAGGAGCTACACAGTTTTCTCACTCAGAAAAATCTCAAAGACATTCTGACCTCAGAGAACAAACCCTGAAAACAAGTTTAAGTAGTAACTACAAAAGGCAAAGGAAGCACACATGCATGGAAATCCTACATCAACTATTAGTGAAACTAATCAATACCAAACACAAGATATTACCTTTTCCCAAGTCAAATGAAAATTTATCTCTTCTGTCCAGACTGGAGTCAAATTTTGTGCCATCAAGAAGCCATCCTGTGTAATGGACAGTCACTTTATCACCTATCATTGGAGACTCTGTCCCGCTGCCTTCTCTCTTGACAACCTGAGAAAAACATTAAGCAAACAACATTAAGATCATGGAAACTAAGTCTGCCTATTGGACATTAAGTCCGTTTACTTAGATGCATGCATTATCATCTTCAGTAGATAAAGGATTTGGAGGTTTACTTCAGTTATCTGGAAATGGACTGACTATTCTGTCTGCAGATTAGCAGTGCTGCAAATGCAGAACCTCAAGATGGCTGTGCTGTGATACGAGAACTTAATTGGCAACAGCTTACAGATCTCTGCATCTATAGTTAGCCATGTCACTTACCTTTCCTCAATAAGATTTTAAATGTTCTTGAAACTCAAACCGGTAAAGTATTAGGCAGGGTTTTTTTGCTTGATTCAAGTATTTGCCTCACCACCTTTTTATCATTACACCCGAGTTCAGTGTTCTAGGCAAAACATTTAAACAAGAAAACAAGGTGGTTGTTTCCATGCAGAGTCTATACTAACATGTAATCTGAAATTACTTGAGTTAAACCAGACAGTTTAACAAAGATTAACAGAATCGCACCACAGAGCAGGTTAGTTTTATCAGCTTACAGAAAAGTACTTAAAAATTATTGTATTGCATTAATTTTGTCTCTATGCAAATCTGACATGGATTACCAGCACATCTCACATACAGCTGCAAGGATTTGATCTTCTCAAGAGGTTCCCCAGCCTGCCTAGCAAGACCGGTATCAACTACATCTGCACTATCCAAAAAGCAAGACCAGCCAATCTCTCCGGTGTTCACTTGAAGTTCACACAAAAACAGAGAATAATATTGACATATCTCATAGGCAAGGAAGTGAAGCCTTGCCCGTAACAGGATTCCTGAAGTTCAGACTTAAATTTTCTCCAATACCAATTGAAACCATCTAGCTCTGAGCCAAAGCTGTGCATCACTTCAGCTAGGCAAAAATGGGAGGACCCTATTTGTTTGGATCATGGAGAACTGGAAAACATCCTGTTCATACAAGATAAACATTTATTCAAGGCCATTTACTCAAAAGTATGGATTGGCATCCCTCCTTTAAAGAAAAGCTATAGAAGTGTCATGTTTCTACACCATTCACATTTTTCATTGAAGGAAGCAGACCCTCGGGAGTCTCCTTCACAAATTTCAACTTCTTACAACCCACCACTGTCCATCTCCTACTTTGCCTCCCACCATCCCTGCACCTATACAACTGAAATGCCAGCCCTCTACATCCAAAGCCAAGGCAATGTTAGCAGTTTCTGTCAGACTTTTACCAAGCTGACAGTACCTCACTGGATTCATAAAACAAAGAAAAAACCCACAAACGAAGAAAACCCAGAAAACAAAATACTACCTCTGCTGCTTCCTAAGGAGAGAAGGCTTAGTGTGAAAAAGGATGCCTGACCTCACACAGCACACCGCCCCTTTCCCCTGAACTGCCTCAGTGCTACAGCAGCTATTAGCATGACAAAACTAATCTACTGGTATCTCTCCCAAGGAAGGCAACAGTTCAAGCAACCACTCCCAGAGAGATAAAGAAACAGGGACCTATGGAAAAAAACCCTATGAATCTGGTAATCAACCTAACCTACACAATGCTTAGATACAGATATATATAAATATATGTATATAAAGCAGATCCAAACTAGTTATTTTAAGGCAGCCAGTCTGAAAGGCTTTTGAAAAAGTAATTGCATTTAATGGAAATTTACTAAGCTTTTCCCAATACCATATTCTTGTAGTGTCATACCAAGGTATCCTATAGTAGCGAATATCTCGTTTTCATTATTTATACAGTATTATTCTTTTGCAATTATTTCATTTTAAGGAGACTCAAGTTTCACTTTTTTCATAGATTCAATATGGCAACCCTTTCAGATGGAGAAACAGGATTTTCCAGTTCATATAGTGAATTTCAAATACTTTATTTCTAAACTAAGAAATAGTGCAAGCACATTCAGCAGTATTAGGTAAAAAGCTGTGGATACTATTCTGATACAAAGCTAATGAACAAATAAGCACGCTCCTGGAATCAGTGCAACGATACCAGTACAAAATTGGTGTAGGTTTGTTCAGAGCTAGACCTTGGTTTCAATGGGTGCATTCTGCACTCCAGAAATTACTAGCAAAAGAAAAATCCATGAAGGCTGAACTTCATGACCTCTACAGTATTTTGCTTATCAATTCACCATCTCACCTTCTCTGTGGTTTTTACCACCTCAGTTATTCTGCTAGTATTTTTTACTCCTCTCCTTAAAAAAAAATTAAAGTTAAAAAAACACCCCAAAACCCAAACAAACAAACAAACAACACCCAACACCTGCTGCTTAATCATCATTTAAAGTAGGTATTGCATGGATTAGGCAGACGATCACTGCCTTCCACCATACTCTAGGGACCTGAACTGAGGGAGACCCAGGCACCTTCTGGGCAGCCGTGCAAATGAGAACTCTGACCTGATTATTTTGCTATATGCAAAAAACAGAAATTCTCACCAAAGCATGTTAGCAGGAAAGATGGGAAAGCAAGACAACATCTACAATCTATTCCTTGCTATCCCTCCTGAATGGGAGACGGCGACTCTGTGACGAACCTAAAATTTAAAGCCAGAGGGCTCTAAAGAATAAGACCAGAATTTTGCTTTTCCTGTGGCGCCACTTTTTTCTTCTGAATACCGTAACTCTGTTCTTCTGAACACCGAAATTTTACTGCGATCGAATAACGCTACTAAGGATCGTTAGAGGTTTTAGCAGAGACTGAGGAAGTTTCTAGAGATATGGAAATAGGCGACGTCTGACAGAGGAAGTTCGTGCAACTCCCCCTCACGGTATAAATTCTGCTGCCCTTATCGCCTGGCTTCCCAGTTTACAAAGGGGAGCAGCCGCTCCGCCGGAATGCGCGGCACCGCCGGAGACCTGCCCGCCCGCCCAGCGGGGCAGCGGCACCGAGGGGTGGCCGCCCCGCTCCGCTCCGCTCCTGCCGCCGGGCCCGCCCGCACCACGCACCCCCGGGCCTGGGGGGGCCGCCGTGCCCGGAGACCAAGGAGCGGAGCGCAGCAGGGCCAGGGACCGGCGGGGACCTGCACCGCGCCCACGTGCCCGGCCGGGGCTCCATCTTTAATTCCCAGCCCCAAACACGTGCTGGCGGGGGCGGACCCGGACCCCCGAAACCTGCCGTGCGGGCAGAGCCGCGGCGTGAGAGCCTGGCCTGGCCTGGCCCCACATCCCGCATCCACACCCCGCAGACCCGGGAATAGCCCGAACGGAGCGGGAAAGCGCCTCTCCCCTGCACCGCAACCCCCCTTCTCCCCCGCCCCTGCGCTTTCCCAGCGGGCAGCCTGGGCTCCAGCTTGCCCGGGCCGGGGAGGTGGGAGCCGGGAGAAGAGAAGAGGAGAGGGGAGCCGCCGGCAGCCGCCGCGTGGGAGCCCCCGCGGGCGGGCGGGCAGCGCTTGCGCAGCCGGGCGCGCTCCCGCGCTCGCCGCCGCCGAGGTTTAATCGCCCGCGCTGCGCCAGCCCGGCCGCGCTGCCCGGGGAGCGCCTCGTCCCCTGCTCCGCGGGGCACATAACGGGCCAGAGCGCCCGGGGAGCACCCGCTCGCAGGCCAAGAGAAACGCCTTCCCTCCCCCGCTCCCCGCTGGCGCAGGGACCCCCCGAGACAGCGCGGGGGGTGAGGATGGGAGACAACCGTCTCGTACCTTGAGGACGCCCTCATCCTGCTTGGGGGTGATGTCTGTCCCTTCCAAGGGAGCCCCGTCTGCTTTCATCTCCTCCGCCGTCATCCCGCCCGCCGCTGCCACCGCTGCGCAGGGAAGGGCCGCCTCGCGGGATCGGTGCTGGACTGGGACACCGGGAATAGGGCTGGGGGAGCGCCTCGTTGCACCTTCGGCTCCGGGCACCGCGGGCGGGGGCGGGCGCCGCACGCCTCCTTCCCTGCTGCTCTCGCCGCAGCGCCGGCCCCTGATCGGCGGGGAGGAGGAGGAGGAAGGGGAGGGGAGAGGGAGGGACCGAGAAGTTTCTAGAGCAGCCGCCGGGCTGCCGCAAAGCGCCCGGCCGTGCCAGGGGCCAGGGTGAAAGTGTGCGTCGCCCCCGGGGGCGGAGAGGCCATCGCTGGCGGGGCGGGGGTAAGGCAGCCGCCTGGCCGCATTACGCGACTGGGGCGGCGGGGGCTACGGAGGAGAAGAGGAGGAGGAGGAGGAAGAGGAATAGATTATTCCTGGCAGGAGGAAGGACGCGCTTTTACAGCGCTGGACTTGCGGAGCAGGAGCGCCCACCGCTCGCAGGTGTTGCAGGGGCGCCTGGCCCGGCAGCGAGGAGGAGGAGCTGCTGCGCCCTGCCCTGCCCTGCCTTGGACAGGTTTTGCTGTAAGCTGCATTTACAGTGAAAGTAACCCTGCTGCCCTCTCAGTAGTAGCAGCCCTCCTCGTCCCCCTTCGGTATGAGCAGCCCCGTGCAGGTGCGTGCGTGGGCTTGTGTACTTTTCGCCCACCACGCGGTCGTGGAAGGTGCAGGAAAGGTTGTACAAGCGGGCACGGAAGCACCGTACCTGCAGCGAGCTGAGGCATCACTTGGCTTGCAGGGCTGGGGATCACGTTAGGAGCTGTGTGCTTGAAAACGATTTGTTACCCAGGACCTGGAAAGGTGAAGATGTGCATAACGCACAGAGCGTAAGCTCTGTGTTTTGCCCATCTGTATCCATCCAGATAAAGTCAGTACCGTTTAATTACTCAACCTGCCGGTGGAATATTTGGGGATGCATAAGTAAAAACGGTGGTACGGTGCTTTTGGCCAAATCATTTGCAACATCCAGTGATCTAAAATCAGACTAGAACCTTGTCCATCCTCTTGGGCATAAATAACTAAAGCAAGAGTGTTAAAGGGATTCAACCTTCCACTGCAAGCCATTAATACCGGCCACCCCGTGTAGCTTTGCCACCCACCCCCCACCCCCCCCGCGTAGGGTGGCACCTTTCCCGGCTCTTCTTGAACTTTCCACTCTCTCCCTTCGCTTTCCCGCTGGGTGCTGGGTTCTGGGCGGGTGCAGTGGCACCGCAGCCCCGCCTGCCAACCTGCTGCAGACGCTCCTCCGCGCCGCCGGCTCCAAAAAAGCGCCGGGGCTGCGCAACCGCGTCCGTACCGCACACGCTCGCTGAGCAGCGGAGGGATGGACAGCTGCCTGCTTCTTGTGCGCGTTCTGCCTCTGCATCTTCAGCATGATGTTTGAGCTTTCATTAACAAAACCGAGTACTGAGGGTGAAAGGAAGGGGGTTCGCAAGCAGGTGTTCAGTGTTCTGGAGTTGCTTTTCCCTCACAGCACGGGCCCATACAATGCAGACCTCATAAGGTCAGAAGGGATCCCTGGAAAGGATGCAGAAAGTTTGGCAGTGTGTGAGCTTGCTCTGTGAGTCCTGATCCTGCGTGCAACCTGGATTTATTCTGTGCCGGCATAAAGCTGTATCTGTGCACGGTGCACAAAAACTCCAGCAGCCTTAGGTGGGCTCTGCTGATGCCAAAGGAAAGTAGTAGCAACAGAGCCTAAATAAAGAACCTGTAGTTACTTCAGCAAGTGGATGTAAACTGCAAAATCTACAGGTTGCTTTTCAACCACAAGCAAACGCACTTTAGTGCACTTTCAAACTGAGTAAGCAGGGGAAAGGTGGAGAAGGAAAGAATTGTGGTTTCTCTGTGCATTTGGTCTAGAAGCTTCTAGCTGCTTTCAGTTTGCAATTTAACATGGATGAGTTATTTGATTGCAGATTAGATCCGTGGGAGGTTCTGTACATAAACTCTAGACCCCGATAAACTGAGGAACACAGAGAGAAGCATCTAAGCTGGTTCTGGTCCAGCAGGTCTAGCAGGTCTTGTTAGGGGAGGCAGAGCAAAAATACAGGAGATACTTCTTCATCTAATGAGTCTGTATGGCACTGAATTTACTTTCTCCAGTCAGTACTAACACACAAGTTCTCTAGAATCCCCATTCATCAAGTCTGACCTCTTTCTTTTCATCTAAATTTTCTAATAATAAATCAACTATAGTTGATTTAATATGAATTTTTGCAGATCCCCTGCCTCATGTTTGACGATGAAATTTCTGTTTGGGACTGGTACTTTTTCAGCCATATGATGTATACATCGTAATCCAGCATTTAATAATTGCAGCATGTAGAAATGATGCCAAATTATCTACAGCAGTCAAACATGCTAAAATCAAGTTTAGGAAAGTGATAAATTGTAGAAAGGAAAGGATATCTCTTAGTGGAGATCGTTTGCAGATGTTATATGTATCCTATTTTTAACCAACTCCCCGTTTTCAGCATAGCAGTGCAAGCTCCTAGGTAATTTAGTAATTTAAAGCAAGTGCTGCAAGCTATGTCCCTTAGTAACTTTCTAAGACTACGTAGATACTGTTTAAGGCCTTCCTGTAAGGGCTGTATGGGCAGAGCTTTATGGATCAGGGGACAGAGATAGCAAAAAGACTGAACATTTTAGGTGATGTCAATGCCATAATGCTTTTATTAGGGTATGGATGGAGGGAAGGCAGGTTAGAAGAGGAGACTCCTGTAAGGCATTGTAAAGGAGCCTCGTGTCAGGCCTGTCCTCAGAACATACACTGTAGACACAATTTTGAAACTAAAGACAGTCACTAAGCAAGATGGGGAGAATACAAAGAAAAGATTTCAGAGCTTGATGGATATGCTTAGGTGAAGTGAGAATGAAACATCTGGGAATAGCTTTCAGGCAGAGTGGAAGACAAGTGAAATGATTGCTCGAAACAGCAAAGAATAGCCCGGGCAGTGAAATGTCCTGAAAAATATCTAATTGCAGCAATAGTCTGGAACAGCCTCCCAGGACACAAAGCCAATCTAAAGCTGGTCAGCAACGTGCTAAAATTATGAATAGGCTTATTCAAAGACTAGCTAGAGATAACAAGGTTTGGACATAAAACATATAAGATGGCATAGGGCAGCACAGCTCAGCTGGAACTTTATTGGCAGGTCCTACACAGGCAAGGGCAGGACTCAAGGTGGGTCCCATCAAGAAGGGAGGACCTTTGGGTTGCTGTCAAAAGGTCAATTCCCCAGGTATGCCATGGCTTGAGCCGCTGCACTGTGTAGGTTGACCAAAACCCCACCAGGACAGGCTGTGGCCTCAAGTTCACTTGCCCAGCTGTGTTGATCATGCTGGCACTGCAGACTCACTGGAACTGGGAAAAGGAGTGAGGAATGCATGTCTGTACAAGCTCAAAGATGGCATTACAAGATAACAGCAAACAGAATAACCAAAAAAGGAATGACCCTGGCTATTAATTTGTGATTGGAACAGGAACTGAACCCAAGCTCATCATGAGCACTGGGTTCACGCTTGATTGGCTTGGAAGGGCAGAGCACAGGGTGTAAGAAAGGAATGAAGACAGAAGCCACACACCGTATCGACTTGGACTTGCCACCAGCTTGCAGATGGACTGACAGCCCAGCCATCAGCAGGACAACCCTGATGCCAACTGCAAGGAAGACAAGATTCAACCCAGTGTGGCTTGAGTGTGGTGAAGGCATTCCTGGGAAAACTAATACCAAAAGGAGAGCTCACAGGGCATGAATGAGAGTGATAATTTGTGCACCCACGTTATTTGAAATAAGGCTTTAAAACTTTGGTCAATTGTAAATATGTAACTAGCTAGCTGCAATAATGAAGAGCTAAGTAAAATTGTCAGGTTTTTAAAGTTGGCATATGTTTCTTCTGAGGTATTGTTTGATTAGTCTCAGAATCCAAAAGTAACCCACAATGTGTCACACTTCTGCTGAGTTGGAAAAGAATTTAAGAGATCAGGGATAGCTTGTAGTTACTTCTGCTTGTTGCATTATAAAATACAACAGTGATAGGGAGGAAGTTGTGCTCAGTATATAGAATTGCACTTTTTTGTTGCACAGAAGCAATGCTACCCTTGAAGTCCACTGTAGGGCACAAACCTTCATCAGTCTAATGGTTATCTTGTGTGAACTGTCTGTGACAGGCAATTAAGAATGTCACCTGCTGCGTACCACCTGAATTATAGCCTGCCTGTTTTTCATTCTCAGCTTTTCTGAGCTGTCCCAGTATCCCTGCTTTCCCTTGCACCCTGATAGCGTAAAGCAAATCAATTCCTATCCTTTAGTTTAGAAAGGATAAAGTTGTTAGTTTTCCTTATCCTTTACCACATCACTGCAGACTGTAGTAGATTGGCATGACCCACATGCAAGGAGCATCAGACCTCTTTTCTGTTCCTTTTCAAATGACAGCAGTGGTGATACACTCATTCCCTGCTTTAAAACCAAGCAATATTTAAAGGGAGTGATCTGAGCTGTTGTACAGCAGGCATGCATATGAGACTTAACCCTCCAGCACCAAACAGGAAAAGGGCTCTCTGTATCTCAGGGATTTCTGAGCTGCTCTACTCCTTGTTCACCAACAGATGTCAACATTTTTCTAAAACCATGAGCCCTAGGACTTGCAGATAGGCAAGGTTTAATTTTTAGAAAATTATTTCCTAGTATGGTTATGATTTCTTCTCCTTTGCTTCTGTACATTACCTTCTATTTTTTTGTAATTTCATTTATATGACATATGCACTGTCCTTTGTTGATCACAGATGTAGATTTTCAAAAAGACTAAACAGCAATTTTTTTGTATAGACATCTCTTCTGATTCAGCATATCCATGTCTTTATTGATCATAGCTCATCAGCCTAATTTAATTTCATAGGAATTTAATAAAATTAATTTTAATTAAGATGTTATTTACCTTTCCAAATGCAAAATTATTTTAAAATACCTAGTCACGTTTCATCAGCTGCTTTCATTTTGTTCTTTCCTTGCCTTAAAAGCAATCAAGATTACTAGACAAATGTATAGACGTTCTGATTTTATATTTCTTTGCATCCTGTTAGCCAGTGAGTCTAGCTTAATGTGTGTATGTTAATACCACCAGAAAGGATGGGCAATTCGTGTTTGGTTTTCTTTTCCTTAAAGCACAGCAACATTTTACTAGGCTCAGAAATTGTAATGTTTGTAATCTATTGCTGTGAAGTGCCATGTGAAAATAACAGCAATACCAGTAATTACAGATGGCAATTGCCTGATTGATTCTCCTGTACTTTTACTAAAAAAATACATTTTTTTAACGGTTTTATCAATTTTCAATCTCTTTCCTAATAACTCTTGGGATTGTAATTGTAAAAAAAAAAATACAGTTTGTTAATTTCTTTCTTAATCTAATTTTAGAGTTCTCATTAATTTGCAGCCTAATCTACTTCCTTGGCTCTATTTCCCTAAGACATATTTAGATTTTGGGTTTATTGCTTTTCTTATGTAACCTTGGAAAGGTGGTTTTTTAAAGTATTTTTTCCTAATTTTGTCTTTCCCATGCAAGCTTTCCTGCTTGACTGCCTGCACCTTCTCCATTTCTCTGGCTGTTTCAGGGGAAGTTCAGACTGGATGTTGGGAAAATGTTCTTCACAGAGAGAGCTTGGTCAGGAACCAAGCCTGTCAGAGTACGAGAAGCATCTGGGCAATGCTCTTACTCATATGGTTTAGTTTTAGGCAGTCCTGTGAGAAGCAGGGATTTTGATTTGATGATCCTTATGGGTCCCTTCCAACTTGAGATATTGTGTGATTCTGTGATCTGCACTAGGTGCCTTCTTTTGCCATAGTTTCAAGCACTTCTGTAAGAAAGGGGGTTGCCCAGGTTGAAGTGTTGTGTTCTCTTCTGTGTGCATGTGAATTTATTGCTTCATCTCACCACCTTTTTTGCACACTACTCGATCTTTACATCTCATGGCTTACTGCTTTAGCTTATCTAGCTTAGGCCAGGGGTGACTTCCCAGTGCTTATACTTTCACAGGTATATGGCAAAGAATGTTCAGTTCTGGGAGTTGTCATGTCCAGGGAAACACAAGTTTGAGCCCATTCAGAAATGGACTAGCCTCACAGTTACCCTGGATGCTGTACGTATGGGAGCACTCACTGGCTAAAAACAGGTTCCTGATCCTCCAGCAGTGAAGGCTACTGAGCACATTACTGCCCCAACATCAGCCCAGGCTCTCACTTGAGTGCTTAGACCAGCTGCAGAGCCCACTTAGTCTTGCCATGTAGACACTGCTTTTCTTTATAAGAATGTGCCGTAGAGCTTTGAAGCATCCTTGCAGTTTTAATGTATGTTAAATTTGTATTTGTGCCACACAGCACACAAGTCACAGAATCAGAGAATGTTTTGGGTGGAAGGGATTTCAATGATCACCCAGTCCAAGTGATACCTTGCAGTGATACCTTCTATTAAACCAGGTTACTCAAAGCCCCAGCCAACCTGCCTTTTAACACTTTCACTGGTGGGGCATCCACAGCTTCTCTGTGCAACCTATTCTAGTGTCTCACTACTGTCATTATAAAAAACTTCTTCATTATTGCCAATCTAAATCTACCCTCTCTCAGTTTAAAACCTTGTTGATGACTAACAGGTATAATGAATGTAAGTATTTTTGTCTCTTCAGCAATGCTAAATGTCAGCATGCCTCTCCTTGCTCAGTTTGTCAAAAAACATGTGAAGAAGCAAGAGTCCACCAATTCTTTACTAGCTGCAGAGTTTGCAGCATACTTGGGTTTTGGTTATTGTGCAGAAGACAGCTAGACTGTAAATTTGAAAGAGAGGAAAGATTGGAAAACCCATGGGTCCACTTTATTTAGGAAGAACAACCAAGTCCCTAGGAATTGTGTGTCTCCCTCACTTAGGCTGCCTTTGTTCTTAACAGGTGATCCACCCCACTTGCTGTCCTGTGTCTTTTGTCCTGTTCCTCACAGGTACTCCACAATCCCATACTTTTGACTCATGGAGATCCTCACAGGGTTTACAGGGACCTTAAAGATTCACCCCAAAGTGACTGACCACTTGACACACAAAATCTATTCTCTTACTCACCCTTAGAACTCCCCCAGGTCATCTGTCTCACAGATATTCTTCCTGAGTGGACCTAGGGGTATTCTTTCCTTTGTAGCACATCTCTTTTGCTTGTGTGTGATGGCTTATGGACAGCAGATGATAGAGTCTCAAGTCTGTATTTAATGAAATCCAATTATCTTCCCACTGCATATTTGACCCTTTTCCAGAGACAGAAGAAAGGCTAGGATAGAGTCAGGCATCTTGCAGGATTTATAAATGTATGCTCCAATACTTACTCTCAGTACTCTCAGCTCTGCAGGGAGTAGGAATTGTCTGGAGGTGAGAGGTGTAAGGGACAGGAGGGAAGACAAGGGATCAAGAATCTGTCTTGAGACAGTGTCATGGAGAATTTGTACTTCCACATTAAGAAGGAAGGCAACTAGGAACCAAGATCTTCCCCTTCCTTCTGTGTGTGCCCAACAGTAGTTGTTTCCTCCTGACTGATATGAGAGACATCCTTCTCAGTCTTCTGTAGCTTCCTTCAGTTCTCGTTAGCCATGTGTGTTCTCTGTCCCTGCTGTGTTTTCTCCCTTCTCTCTCTTGAAAGAGATCATCAGTAGCTGTGTCTGTTCTGGGTCTAGTGAGTGTGCTTCCTTCCCTCTGTCCACACTGAAATGCTTAATACAATTGAAATGGAGAAACTGTGATTACATAGGAATTGGGAATTCTCTTACATGGTGACAATTGCTTTCAGTTAAGAGAGAGTTAAAATCCTTCTCAAGACAGCCACACCTTGCTCTGGGTAAATGCTAGGGAGGAGCAGTCCTCCCAGGTCTAGAGTCTAGGATGTTAGCTTTCAGATCCTGTGATAAGAAGAAAGGTGGGGGCTAAGAAATTTTTCTGAGTTTACTTCAAACCTAGTCCTTTAGGGTAATCACCTGAAGAACACTGAAGAACAATCCTAAGCGCAGATACAGGGTACATGGAGAATTAACTGAGAGCAGCCCTGCTGAGAAGGACTTGAGGGTGTTGGTTGACAAGAAGCTCAACGTGACCTGGCAATGTGTTGCAGCCCAGAAAGCCAATCATGTCCTGGGGTGCATCAAAAGCAGTGGAACCAGCAGGTTGAGGGAGGGGATTGTGCCCCTCTGCTTCACTCTTGTGAGACAGCACCTGGAGTACTGCATCTAGCTCTGGAGTCCCTAGGAAGGGAAGACATAGATCTGTTAGAATGAGTCCAGAGGAGGGCCACCAAGATGATCAGAGAGCTGGAGCACCTCTCATATGAAGACAGGCTGAGAGAGTTGGGGTTGTTCAGACTGGAGAAAAGAGAGCTCTGCGGAGACCTTAGAGCCCCTTCCAGTACCTGAAAGAAACTACAGGACAGCTGGAGAGAGGCTTTTTACAAGGACATGGAGTGATAAGAAAAGGGGTACTGACTTTAAACTGAAAGGAGGCAAGTTTAGATTAGATGTTAGGAAGAAATTCTTTACTGAGGGGATGGTAAGGCACTGGAGCAGGTTTTCCAGAGGAGCTGTGTGTGCCCCATCCATGGAAGTGTTCAAAGCCAGATTGGATGGGGCTTTGAGCACCTGGTCTAGGGGAGTGGAGTGAAGAGCTCAGCAGCATCAATCCTTATTTGGACAAAAAAGCTTCCTAGGTCTTGTTTTGCCCGTGTTTTCCGGGCATTGTTTCAGGGCTGGGGGGAGGACATGAAACTGCAGAAACTTGTTTGCCCCATTGCTTTTGCTCTCCTGAGCCCCATGGTTCAGTGGACGGAGAGGGGGTCAGGTGCTGTCTTGCCTTTGTCTGAGAAAATGATGGAGGGTGCTCTCTATGGGAAGTGGTTTTGTTTGTTCAGTGGTGGATACCCTTTTGTAAGTAGAGCACTCTCTCTTTTGTTCTCTCTTTAATTGATATCGATGTGGTTATGGTGAGTTTTTCAGTAAAACTGTGATTCCAAGTTGTGTTCTCTCCAAGTGTTTCCTCTGTTGTTGTAAGGGATCAGGGGAGTGGGCAACTTGAGTGGGATTAATTTTCCTACTGGGTTTTTAAACCAGCACAATGGGCAGTGTAGTTTTTGTCCTATGTTAATCAACATGTTTGACTCATAAATCTTATGTAAAACAACAGTGGAGTCTCATGATAGTTTGGGTGGAAAAACAGAGCTTCCAGGCATGTCCAGAGGATAAGAAATGAGAATGATGCTGTCATTCTTGATCAAGTTGCTGTTTCTAAGCGCCCTGGGGCTTGTGGCAAATCCAAATCCAGGATGCAGCTGCCCCAGGACTTACCATTTTCCTGTGTTTGCATGACAAGGATTTGCTTTCAGGGTAGCCAAACATGAAATGCATGGGAAGATTGGTGTTGGCACGGGATGCCGTCCAGGAAAGGGCCACGCCCCCTCGGTGCAGCTCCTCTCCTTGCAGTAGGTGGTGCGCTCCAAGTCACTCCTCTGAATCTTGAATGACAGAGACTGAGTGAGAGTGGGTTGTGCTCACCGCCACAAAGCCTTCCTGTTTGCAAAGTCACAGCTGCTGCAGCTCAACAGAAGGCAACCTCAGGGAAAAGCTAAGCCAAACTTTCAAACTGAGGGAGCCTCAATAGAGCACGTGTCACCCATAGACCCCGAAGGGCTTGGCAATCGAGGTTAGTACCACCCTCCTTACTTCGTAGATGGGAAAACAGATGAAACAAAGCGACGGAAAAGGGAAGTTATTTTCTTGAGATTGCAAAGCAGTTTGGGTCAGGAAACTAGGGCATGAATCTCCTGTGCCTAGACCTTCTCTCCTAGGTACTGTGTGACTTCAACTGACGGTTATTCCGGGGAGCTGGTTATCTCCATCGTTTGTGCTCGCTCTCCCCCAGCCTCTGAGTAACTCCTAATACTAAGCAAGAGCTTTTAATGCCGAAGTGAAAGTAGAAAAATACAACTTTGGAATAGCACATTACAGCAACTGCATGTAGCTCTGTACGTATCTAATTAGGAGCTAAAATGTGAACTACATGTTTGAATTATGTTGTGTTTTTCTGTTGATACAATCTTTTCATTTTCTGGCTGTTTCTGTGTGAACCACCTCTACCAAGCAAGTTCCTAGTAGACTTCCTGGAACCTCTGGCACTCTCCCTCTCCAAATAAACTGTTAATAGGAAAGTGAATACCTGTAATTCCTTATTTTGTCCCATGGTGCTTAGCAGAATTTGTTGAAACAGTCATTTTCTTTGCCTCCATCACCTTGATATACTTGTCACTTTAGTTTTTTAATTTTTAAATTTAAATTTGTAATTTAAGTTAAATTTAAATAATTTTTAAAATTATTTTAATGGTAAATAGTGTGATAACAAAGCCAAAAAAGCAAACAAAAAATTACCAAAAACCCGAAAAAGTTGTGTCCACAAAGCTGATTCCTGTTTTGTTTGGAGTTCCTACTAGACAAGAAAATTACTCTGCAGGGTTTTTACAGCTGTCCTTTATTGCTGAGCCATGCTGTAATGGATGTTGGTTTTCTCTCCACCAGATAGGAGCTTCCTGAAGATGAAACCATCTGCCACCTATGAGCTGTTAGTGGACGGTGTTGGGCCATGGGACTTCACTGGTGGTTTTGTTCCTTGTGAACTGCTCCTTGTTGGAGAGGATGCCTTCCCTGTACTCCTGAGCGCTAAGAAGCAGGTTCTGATTGCTGTTTCACAGTATGGGAAGGGCCGGATGGTGGTTGTTTCCCATGAAGGAATCTTGAAGGACTCCAAGTTTTCCCAGTTCCTCAGAAATGCTGTGGAGTGGCTCAAGCCTTGCACCGAGGCCCTGGTTGGGGTGCATTCTCAGTTGGATTCCCTCTCCCAGGTGCTGCTCAGGGCTGGCACTAAGGTACAGGCTGGGGCAGAGCTCAGCCCCTCCCTGGGGGTGTACTGTGTGGATGCCTATGACAGCTCGAAGGCGAAAGACCTGGTTGGCTTTGTAAAAGCCGGGGGAGGGCTGCTCATTGGAGGCCAAGCCTGGCACTGGGCTAGTCAACATGGCAAGGAGAAGGTGCTGTTCGAATTCCCTGGGAACCAAGTGACCAGCGTAGCTGGCGTGTACTTCACAGGAAACGCTGTGGAAAAAGGCATCTTCAAAGTAGCCAAGAAAATTCCCAAGATCCCATTAGTTGTCCAGTGAGTATCTGAATTGCTCTCTATTTATACAATGGTTCAGGTTGTGCAGGTGAGTTGTTTATAGAAGATTTGTGAGGTGAGAGTTGAGGATGATTGTGAATGCTGGTTCTTTAATAGCCAGGATGGGATGCAACTTTTGTCTTCCAGTTTAAAGGGGGCCTTTCCACTCCTTATAATTGGAAAGAATGGTGTTTCAAGAAGGACATTGAGACGCTGGAGCAGGTCCAGAGAAGAGCAGCAAGGTTGGTGAAGGGACTCGAGCACAAGTCCTATGAGGAGAGGCTGAGGGAGCTGGGGTTGTTAAGTCTGGAGAAGAGGAGGCTCAGGGGAGACCTCATCACTCTCTTATGGCCAGTCTTCGCGAGCGAAGATCCGGGGAAGGTCTTTACACCTTCCAGCCTGCGCATTGGATTTTTTTTTTTAGGTGAGACACAGTGTGCGCGGAACTGAGCCCACCCTTTAATCCTAAGGTTCATCTGCCGGGGCCAAGCGAGCTTGGACGGTGGCAGCGAGGTCCTTAGGACGTAGGTGGGTTGCCTTTAAGGGCTAACGAGCCCCACCTGCCCGGGAGTGGCCCTGACCGGGAATCGAACCCGGGTCTCTGTGGTGATAGCGCGGCGCCTTTACCACTGGACCACCAGGGGCTCCTCATCACTCTCTACAACTCCCTGAAAGGAACTTGTATCTAGGTGGAGGGTGGTCTCTTCTCACAGGCAGCTATCAGTAAGACAAGAGGACATGGTCTTAAGCTCTGCCAGGGGAGGTTTAGGTTAGATGTTAGGAAGAAATTCTTTCCAGAGAGGGTAATCAGGCGTTGGAATGGCCTGCCCAGGGAGGTGGGGGATTCTCCATCCCTGGAGGTTTTTAAGATGAGACTGGATGTGATACTGAGTGCCATGGTCTAGTAACCACAATGGTAGTGGATCAAGGGTTGGACTTCATGATCTCAGAGGTCTCCTTTTCAACCTTGCTAATTCTATGGTTCTATGAATCTACTGCTTCCAGGGCAGCTGGGACAGGCTCAGGGAATCCATTCAGGAAAACGAGGGCAGCCATCTTTTAGAGCATTCTGCCTGATCAAGTGTACCTGAGTGCAACACACAGCAACACAGGGACAGGAGGAGGAACTCCTTTCCCTCTCCCCACACTGTACATTTAGGGCTATTTTCCCAGAGCTGAAAACGAGGTTGGTGATGAAGCACCAGACCAACCCTCTGGGCCAGGCTTTGGTTGACAGCTGCTAAACCTGTTTAGCCTGTTACTTGCAGGAATTCACCTTCTATAGGTGAGACCCTGGGGCTGCTCCAGAGGTGAGGAGGCAGGCTGGGTGCCACCTTCCTTTTCAGTTCTGACATGAGCTGAGGGCTGGAAATCTCAGTGCTCACAGTTTGTTTGGGAGTCCAGCCTGTCCCCTTGGGTCCTGGAGCATCAGGTGTAAAACTCATAGCTGTTATGACTCATGTCACACAGCCAACCAGGCACTGGAGTCCTGGGCATTGCTCTGTCACCCTCCTCCCCTTGCCAGTGGCTGTGCCTGCTGCCACTTTCTGCTGAGTTACACAAGGCACAGCAGGTTCTCCAAGGAGCATGAGTGCTGCTGTGCTTCCACTGTGTGGCAGCTTCATTTCACTGTAGGGAAAGCCAAAACAGTTGCAGCAATATGCCCTGCAAATCTTTCCTTCACAGCCTTTTCCTTGTGGATATATAATATTAAATTTCTAATATTTTCATATTGTTTTATTTGATACTTTCTGGATGCTCAGTTTATTTAGCAATAAAGGTAGTATAAATCTAAGCTGTTGGATTCAGTGGGGTGCTTAGAATACAGCTAACAAATGAAGTTATAAATTAAAATTTGCTGGTTAGTTCTTGTCCCCACCTGCTCTTCACAGACATGTTCCCACTGCTTCATGCACAGTGCACAGAAGAGGGAGAGGGGTGGAGAATTCAGCAGAGAAAAATTGCGTAGCAATTAATGTGACTTTAAATTGTAATTAAACTGAAATATACCTTGTTTAGGTTGCTTTTGTGGTCATCTTGATTCAATCCAGAGCCACAGAGAAATTTAGATATCTAATTTCTGTGTAGGACAACAGCTCTGTGCATCTGGGCCTTCCTGCCAGCTTTGTGTACAGAAAATCTGACTGCAGTCTGAGGCAGGTGCTGTGACATAAGTCAGGGCACATACTCTGTGTGACAAAGGGTCTCAGTAAAACAGTAACCAAAGGAGAGCTGCAGATCTAATTCCTGTGATACAGGTGTGCAGAAGAGCAGCATCATTTATTCTTACTGAGTTGGCTGCAATGGCCACATAACAACAGGTACTTTATAGGTGTTGGGGGGAAAACTGTGTGGCCAAGCCAGGAGAAAGTGTGCACAAAGCAAATGAGAGTCATCCAGCATGTCAATCTCCACAGTGACATAAAGGAGTTATATGGAAATAGCAGAGATAAGAGGGCCTTGCACAGCCTGATCTCTTTATATTGTGGAAACCAACAGGGTGAGGTAATGTGAGGTCAACGTGTTAGGGCTCCGATTCAAATTCTAGTCACTCACTATTTGTCTAGCTGTGTGTCTGCCTGTCCATATAGCCCAACTGTCCTAGCTCTCCTTCTTCAATTCTCAGCAGTGGCAGAGGCTGGGAAATGGCAGAGAGAAATCTTTTGGGCTTGCCTAATTGATAAAGACTAGGGTGGGGCAAATGGAGAAAGTTTCTGTTATAGGAGATTTGCCAATTCCCACATGATTTGAAGTTTAAACCTGCAGTTTAAAAAATATGAAGGGTCTGATTTTTGAGTTCCTTCAACTTCCTTCTGACCTATTCTTTCCTTTTTCTAAATGAGTGCTGAAGTTCCTACAGATTTGCTTGGCTGTAGAAACTGAGGTTTTAAAAGGATAAAAAATGGGATATTATTGAATTTTATTTTTTTTAATGAAAGAACTGACAGCATGATGTACTAGGATGAGGTAGGAGGCAAGGATGGATGCGGTTGGCTTTTGAACCAAGCATTCTGGGATGGGGGCTAACCCGAACCTGTCTTGGTTCTGCAGGCACCAGACCGACCTCAGCCTTGATGCTGAGTTTCTCCTGCGCGGTGTGCTGGAGCTGGATTTGATGACGGGGGGCATTCCCTCCACCCTGCTGGTGCACGGTGTCCTCTCCTTCCCCCTCTGCCTGGACAGCTCTCACCGCTGCCTCTTGGCTGCGGCACACTATGGCCAAGGCCGTGTCGTGGTGGCGACCCACGAGAGCCATCTGTTCTCCCCTAAGCTGGCCAGATTCCTGCTCAATGCTGTCTGCTGGCTGGATGCCGGGAGGAAGGGGCTGGTGGGTGTGAATCCCAGCCTGAAGAAACTGTGTAGCCTCCTCTCTCCGGAAGGGGTGAAGTCACAGGTGTCAGAGCTGACAGGTGACCTCAGCGTGTACTGCTGCTCTTCTTACAGCGACAGAGAGGCAGAAAGGATTCACGCTTTCGTGGCAGAGGGAGGTGGCCTATTGGTGGGAGGCCAGGCCTGGTACTGGGCTTCCCAGAACCGTGGCAAAGCCGCTGTGGCAGAATATCCTGGCAACAAAATCCTGAACCGCTTTGGGCTGAGTATCCTGGGGCAGAGTGGCCAGGCGGCCAAGCACCGGCCCGTGGGGCCTGGGGAGCACTACCACTTCCGCAAGGCGCTCCTGCTCTTCAGCACGCAGGTGCGCAAATGTGAGGAGCTCACGGGGCCCCTGAAGGACTGGCTGCACTGCCTGGCACGAGACTGCGCTGCCTTCCTGCGCATCCCAGCCCACGACTGCCCAGCGTATGCCTCGCTGCGCCGCATCCTGACCAAAGTGCTTCAGAGAAGCGGGATCCCGCAGGTCAGCAGGCAATGCCCCGTCAAGAGAAACTCCAAAGAGGCAGTCCTGCTCTGCATGGCAACCGAGCTGTCCCTCACCATGACAGACAGCGCAGCCCTGGTGCAGAAATGTGCTGCTGGAGTCTGCGCCCTCCCCATCGCTGTGGAAATTGATGGCACAAACCCAGGTGAGGAGTGTATCTCCCTTCCTCTCAAAACATCCTGTTGTTGGGGTCGGTGTGGTGCCAGGCCTCAACGTGCATCTGCCTGTGTATGTCTGAACATGTGCAATTTCACTGTGGGCTAGACAGGAGGACGACTTCTGTGTAGTGGCAGATGGGCTCCTTTTGTGGCCAGCCCTGATTTCAACCCTCTGAGACACCCCTTCTTCCTCACTTTTGGTGCGCAGGCACCTGGGGAAGAAGAACCCCCTAACAAGTGGTACCCCAGGGTACTTACACAGCACAATGGCTTTGGCAAGAAAGCTTCTTTGGGAAACCCTGTGCTCCACCCTGCAGGTTGCTGTTACCATAGTTGTGCTGATACAGCCATCTATGGAGCCATCCTACAAAGAGGTAGGAGTTAGAAACAAAAGGGCTTTTTGTTATCTAGATAATTTCAGCCTCACATCTTGTTGTATCAGCACAGTTAGTGAAGATCTAGTTTTGAGGGTGAAAACGAGAGGCTGGAAGTATGATGGGAACTTCTTGGGCTTACACTGCCACTGAAGCCAAGGTGTTTGGTAATTACATCATCAGTGATTTGTCTAAGCTTAAGCCTTGTATCTCTACAAACTTGCTGAGATTCCTGCTCACAACTGATATGTTTAAACTCTAGGTTAAATTCCACTAGTAAGGTTTTATTCCCTGGACAGATTAATCTTGAGATTTGGTGAGGGTTTTTTGGTATTAGAATATGATTGAGAGGGGTTGTTTCCAAACTGTTCTAATGAGACAAAGGAAACTGTTTCTGGAGTGGCAATGCCTGAGTGCAGCGGTTATGCAAAGAGAAAAGTTGTGGAATAACTGCTCATTGTTTTTAGTGTCAATGAGTCTGGACAAAAGGGGAAAATTGTTAGGGTTGGTTGAACTGAATGAAATGGCTCAAACACAGTATTTTGTTTAACCAGAAATATTCAGAATTTGTGTCATTTCACGTAAGCGAAGAAAGAAATGCTAGCAAACCCATTTCAAAACTGCCTTTGGTGCAAATTCAACAAAACTAAAATGAACTGGTAAAACGTGGCGATATAGTCTAATTTGTATTTTTCTGTGGATTAGGTTTTGCTTGACAAAACTGGTCTTGCTGTCTTGGATGACAGGAAAGGTTGTAAGCTGGGTGCTTTACGACAGTTCAGCTCTTTTTAGGACTTTTGATGTTTGTATTGAAACATACCTAAGTAAATTTTATGTCAGAGCTGGGGAGTGGAATTTACCCAATCTGTACAGTAGAGATGGGGCTAGTTTTGCACTGTGTATTGCAAGTATTTAAAGAGATCTAGGGTAAGGAGACTTACTTTTCCAAGTGAAGATTGTCTAGAAACGTGCTGAATTGTAGTGGCGTGATGGGATATCCATCTTACCATTACACCTAGCATGGAATGATCTCTTTAGGCCTTCTCATAACTTCAGTCAGCTAGAAATGGGAATTCCTATGGGCTCCAGCTTGTGCTGGAAAAATGCAATGAATAGGGGAAAATGCAATGCTACTCTCAGTCTGTTATTTGGCAAATATTTTATGACCATTACAACTTCAACTGTGTTTCATACCAGCATAGTTGGCACCCCTTAGGAGGGCTTTAGGGTAAGAGGATCTCAGTGGAAGAGGTATTGGAATTTTTGTTTCTTTTTTTATTATTATGTGTTATTTTTAAAAGATACTAGTAAATGCATTTAAGCTTGGCATTTCCAGAAGTTCAAATTTGTATGGGCTTGCTTACTAATGGTTTGATGTTCTTGTTCATGCTGCTACCCTATAGCTTTGAAACTGTATTTCTGGCAGGTTGGGTAAAATGTGAGATGGTTCTCTGCGTGTAGAGCAAGGGATAAGAAAAGGCTGGAAGATTATTTTCCTGCTGCAAGTTGAAGTCTCCAGAATCTGTAATGGTCAGGACAAAGAAGTGCTTGACTGTTCAGGACTGTGTTATATCTTACCTTTAGGTAAGACAGCCTGGAGGAGTACAGGACTCTACCTCCCTGAAGGGCACACAGCAGTTATATCGTGGCCTTGCCTAGTGGTCGGTGCTGGTCTGAAGGTAAGCTCTCTCTGTTTTGGCTTTAGTTTACATCTCTGTATTTGACAGGTGAGTGCTCAAAAATTTTCTCCTTTACGGTTTTTGTTACCTTTTCAGTCCCTTCCTACTGCTGCCACCCTGTGGCACTCCAAATGCTTTGTTATTATTTTTTCACCTCGTGTGTCCTTACTCTCTTTTTTTGCATTCTTCCTATTTTTGTGTGCTGGAGGGATAATTAAGTGTGGCTGCTGCTTGAGAGCAGCTGTGTTCGTTCTGTTATTTTGCAAAGAAAACTGGGCCCTTCTATGCACGAAACTTGATTCCATCTCTTCAGATTTCTCATAAATTGCTTTGATAGTGCTGTCATTACTGCTCATGTAGATGTATCCAGATCAGAGATACACTGTTACTTGGGATCCATTCTCCACAAAATATGACATAGGTAAATGCTTATCTGCTTGAACATTTTTTGCAGCTGAAATGCAAAATTAACTCAGGTGATCTGTCTGATCCTGCAGCCACACGCTGTTTGTTTTCCTGTAAGAGGTCCAAGGAAAAGGCACAATAAAAGATGTCAGCCACGTTCGCACCTCTCCAACTCCTGTGTTACAGGATGTGACTTTGATTCTGGTAAAGGGTAGAGGAATGATCAATGCAAGTACAGTGTAGTGAAAGAAGTCACTGCAGTACCCTGGCCAACTAGTGAAGGATGTAGTTGAGCCAGTAATAACAGGAGAACAGCTGTAAGACTGTCTGAGACAAGGATATAGAACTGAACTTCATCAGCTTTTTTCATTATATTTACTGATTCTGGGGACCACAGGCTGAAAACTTGAACTAGGCTGGAATCAGGAGGCTGCTTCTGTGTGCGTGCTCTGCAGGGACAGTGCTGCGGCAGAGAGCTCAGTGTTGAGGTCAGTCTGCCAGGTCACACTCAGACACCTTTGACCAGCTGTCCCTATGCTTCTGTTTGGCAGGTGCAGATTGGGTGTCACACAGATGACCTCTCTCATGCCAAAGAGCTGAAGCGGGCGCCAGTGGTAATACGCACCTGTGATGTTGCCTGCCAGAAGCAGTCCATTTCTTGCCTCTGGGGTGGCCTGATTTATATCATAGTACCAGCAAGGAGTGTCCTGGGGAAGGTGCCCATCACAGTGGAAGGGGCAGTCAGAGCTCCTTTCTTCAAACTTGGTATGTTTGTTTACCTTGGTGCTTTTTTCCTTAGGGCTGCTCACAGGTGCTGCTGTCCCTGTGACTGAAAGTAAAGATGGCCCCGTGCTTAGGAAGGTCTTAAAAATGCTTGGGTTAAGGAATACCCAGGTTTGGTTTTCTTACTATGGTGTCCTCTGGGATTCCCATTTTTCTACCTATTTTTAAAAATGGTAGAAAGGTGGCCCCCAGGACTGTCAACCTCACTTCTGTGCCTGGGAAGATCATGGAACAGATTCTCCGAGATGCTATGATAAGGCACATGGAGAACAGGGAAGCAATTTGGGACAGCCAGCATGGCTTTAGCAAGGGCAAGTCTTGCCCGACCAACCTAGTGGCCTTCTATGATGGAGTCACTACATCAGTGAACAAGGGAAGGGCTATGGATATTGTCTGTCTGAACTTCTGTAAAGCCTTTGATGTGGTCCCCCAAAAAATCCTTCTCTCAAAATTGAAAAGACATGGACCTGTTGGAGTGGGTCTAGAGGACGGCTGTGAAGATTGCTGGGGGGCTGGAGCACCTCTCCTGTGAGGCAAGGCTGAGAGAGTTTGGATGTTCAGACTGGAGAAGAGAAGGCTCCTGGGAGACCTTATTGTGACCTCTAAAGAGGACCAGTAAGAAGTATGGGAACATACTTCTTAGCAAGGTCTGTTGTGATAGGACAAGGGGCATGGTTTTAAACTAAAAGAGGGAGACTGACCTCTGCCACGACAAAGCATGCCTTGTGCTCTGCCTGCTTTACTGTGCCCCCGTCTGGCCATCTCTAGTCTCTACAATAAACCTCTGATGAATTTCCCGTGTTTCCAGCAGTTTTCTTCTCTCTCTCTCTTCTCTTCTCTTCTCTTCTCTTCTCTTCTCTTCTCTTCTCTTCTCTTCTCTTCTCTTCTCTTCTCTTCTCTTCTCTTCTCTTCTCTTCTCTTCTCTTCTCTTCTCTTCTCTTCTCTTTCTTCTTCTCTTCTCTTCTCTTCTCTTCTCTTCTCTTCTCTTCTCTTCTCTTCTCTTCTCTTCTCTTCTCTTCTCTTCTCTTCTCTTCTCTTCTCTTCTCTTCTTCTCTTCTCTTCTCTTCTCTTCTTCTCATTCAGTTTCTTCTTTCTCTTCTGTCAAACTAAACAGAACCAGGGTTGTTGTGTGAAACAGCAAATCTCTGCTAGAGAAGAAGAAATCAGACACTGGAGAAACTTGATGCTTCTTGTTCTCTGATGGAAAACAGGGATCTGTTCTTGCTATGCTACTCTGTTATATACCAGTCCTTTTCTGTCTGTTTCCTACCCATTAAGGAACCTGGGGAGACTTCCTAAGCACAGAATAAGTGTTGGCTATTTAACAACCACCCCCGCCCAGTCACGGAACTGTTTTCCATGAAAATTTCGTGACCATGGACTACTCCAATCTTGACCTCTGTAAGTGTGCCCAAAAGTCAGAGCTGCTCTTAAACCTATTTTCTTTGTCGTTGACATAGGGGAGACTTGTGAAAGCCAGTGGAAGGATTGTATCCGACACTACCCTGCTCCCTGGGCAGAACTGGCTGTTGAGAATCTTATCCTGACGGTACCCTCCGACAGCATCCGCCACATGGAGAACCCACGGCCACTGCTGACCCTGTGGAATGAGATCATGGTGGCAATAAGCAAATTGGCAGCCATACCAACGAAATTCCCAAGGCCAGAGAGGATTGTAACAGATGTCCAGATCTCATGTGGTAGGTACATTGCCATATGGCCTTCTCGAGGGCTAAGAGACAAGTGGCCTCCAGCACCAGTGTCTGTTCCTTCAAGGTTATTTTGCTAAAACCAGACAGGGAACATATGTGAGGTGTTAAATGACTGTGACCCTTGCATAATTGCGAGATACTCCATCAGGGTGGAAATATGGTAAGGCAGGGCTTGAAAAACATATTGACCTTTTCAGATGACTCCCTGCTCTCAAAACTACTGTTGTCTCCTCAGCTGTTCTTCTGTCTGGGTGGGTTAAGATGCAGAGCTGCTGACTGCTGTGGCTTCAGCTCACATATAGTTACTCATTCTCCCTCCTGAATGCCAGTACAGCTGGGAGACAGTGACCCGATTTCTATTTTTTCTCTGCCTCAGTCACAGGATTGTTTTTATGTGTTCAGTGACAATTTTTAAAGCTCCAACTGCCTACTTGCTGGAGATGGGCTCCACAAAGGTTTCTGTGGGCAAAGCTTAGCCCAAAAATATGGACTTGAGAGGATGGCAATGGAGGAGTAGAACCTGTATTGCTGTCAAAGCCCATGAGTGTGTGTTTTTGCAGCTGATGCTTCCCACTCCAACTTTTCCAGTTGAGAACCAAGTGCCTTTGATCTAGATTATATGGTAAATGAACTTTGCAATAATTTTTTTTTCAGTTGTTTTTCAAAATATACTGGTTAAATTCATTGTCCCACAAAGAGACAAGGGCTTGGCATGAACCCTGATGTCCTAACTCCTTGCTAAGCCACATGGAAAGAATTTGTGGCGCATCTTGGGAGTGTTAAGTTCTGCTATCCTGAGCAAATGCCCGTTAAAAAGATCATAGTCTACAAACATAAACTTCCCTTCTGGTTTGGGTGGACTAAATGGTTTCACTCACATTTCTGGACCTGAACAGTGATTGCTGAATGCATGCATCCCTCTTGTTAAAAGAAGACGAGGCTTAAGATCTGTGGGAAGGGGACTGCCATTCATGTTCTCCAGCTTGGGCAGTCTACAAGCTTTGTGTTCAAAGTCAGCTGTGTGGGCTCCCTCTGCAGTGAGTGTAAAGGGCTGCTTTTTCCCTGTTACAACAGCCATTTGAGTTTGGGGGCATGACTCTTGTATCAAGTTTTGGGCTTCTTCAAGAAGGACCAGTTAGGGATGAAGACACAAAGGAGTCATAAGTAAACTCCCCTATGTAATGCAAGATTCTTGTCCAGCATCATGGTGGGAAGTTGTTCACAGAATAGTTATCCTACAAGGCTAAGACCAGGCTTAAGTATGATAAGCTTTGCAGGACAAACTGTGTTTTCCATGTGTCTCATCCACACCACTGACTATTGGAGTGTAGACCTGCAGTATCCACACTCTACACAGGAAGGCTCAAGGTCTGCCATGGTGCTGAATCACATGCTTGTGCCAGCGTCAACTGTGCTCAGTTTGTGAGTATTCTGGGCAATGGTCAGGCCTTTCCCCTCATCCTAAAATCTCAACCTCCTTTCAACCATGAGTGTATGCTTATGTATGAAAACGGAAAGGAGAGGAAACTGTGCTTAACTGATATTTCAGTCCTGCCTTTACACAGCGTATTTGACTATTTGCTGGGGCGAAACATGATGAGTTTCCTTACCTCACAAGAGGGAAAATCAGTCATTCATAGTAGTAAAATGTAGTTTGTGAGGTAAAGGCAACACGCTCAGAAATGAAAAAAAAGGTTAGTCGCTTATGTCTGAGAGGCACTGAGGTGAGCACCTGGTGACGTGTGTTGGTACCTGTCCTTCCTGCAGGCTGGATGCACGCTGGATACCCCATCATGGGCCACCTAGATTCGGTGAAGGAGATGTTAGATGTGAAGCATATGCAAACTACTGGTCTTTGGGGTCCTATCCATGAGCTGGGACACAATCAACAGCAGCAAGCATGGGAATTTCCCCCTCATACCACAGAGGCCACATGCAACCTCTGGTCTGTCTATGTTCATGAGAAGGTGCTGGGGATTCCCAGACATCAGGCCCATCAGGCCCTTAAGTCACAGTGTCGGCAGGAAAGGATAAAAGAGTATCTGAGGAAAGGCGCTCAGCTAAAGGACTGGAACGTGTGGACTGCTCTGGAGACATACCTGCAGGTAACTGGGAGAAGTGTGTGCATTCTTAGTGCAGTCAGTGAAACCTGTGTCAGAGGGATGGCTGCAGCCTGGTGACTGTAGCTGTCAAGCCTCGTAAATGTCTTGCTATCTGGGTTCATCTTGGACCCAGAAAGGACATGGGAGGTATATAGGCAGAGTGTTTAATGCTGATGTCTCCTGAAAACCTTCCTTTGCCAGACTTGGGCTTAGCCAGTCATGGAGGTAGCTTGGTGCAATATACTAATCTCTCTCCCTAGGAGAGAAACAGGAACTGCTGCTGGTTATACAGCATGGGAAAAGGATGATCAGACTTGGGCACAGTTCTTTAATCTACTGCAGATTTCCTGTGGGACACTGGGCTAGTTGGTGAAAAAATCCTGGCACAGTAAAATGTCTAGAAGAGCCAGGCTTTGAGCAGTATCATGGCCAGACTCCTTTTTACAAAACATACAAAGAACACGGTATTCATATCAGTCAATACACTGAGTGCAGCCAGTGTAGTCCATCAAGTGGGAAGGGGGTGGGTTCAGCTCTAAAGAGAGATAAAACATGAGACTTTAAAATATGAACCCTGTCCTAGATTAAAGAGCATTCCCTTGGGAAGCATGCAAGAGAGATTTTCTTCTTTCCCTTTAATCCTCTTAGCAACTAGTAGTCTAATGGAGAGAGCACTCAACCTGATTTTAATTGGGGACTATAAAGCAAATGTCCATTATGATGGCTTAACCTACTGACTGTTGCGAAGTAAGTTTCCCTCAACCCCCATGTCTGGAAGCTCTCACATCTTATATGAACAATAAAATATTTAAGTATCGATCCTGATTTTTCCACATCCCAGAGAAGCACCTGAATCATCAAGCTGAAGAGTAAACCTTTGGTTTTTTCTTGCCCAGCAAATATAAAAATAGTTATACAGAGTGAAACAGTTTTAAAAAGGGAAATTTTCCCACAATACTTTATCAGTTTGGCCAGTGTCCCCCTGCCTCACTCACACTTATAGGCTGGGGTTAATATATATATTTTTATATATATATATATATATATATATAAAGTATATATATAGTAACCACGTCCTGTCTGGTCAACAGCACAACTGCTGGAATAAATGTGACATGAAAGACAAATGACAATTCTGCAACAGCAGCTTTTCTGTATGAATCCCTTTTGTTCTTATTCCTAGCCAAAACACGTCCTGCTCACAATCTCTCCTTCCTATTTTCTCAGTACTCCTTGTTCTCCTTGTTCTCCAGTGCTCCTTCTTTCTAGGTATTCTGTCAATGTCCTCTGATGCTTTTTCACTACACAAGAAGCTTTCCTTTCTCCAAAGCGGCAGCTTGTATAGTAGGTTGCTGACATTTCTGCATCTTTCATCTCTGTTTGTTTTGGGAGGCCAGGTAATAGGAAGGTATTTTCCTCTACTCTAGTTATGCTCTGAAGCCTGAAAGTTGGATGCTTTCATCTAAGTTTACATTCATTCCAAAAGACACTGCAGAAAACTGTAAAATCTTCTACTGTTTGTAACACAGGAATAATGCCAGTGAAATGACAACTTAATTGTTTTTACAGTATATTCTTCTCCATCAGTTGCAGGAAGGGTTTGGTTGGGACCCCTTCATCCACCTCTTCTCTGACTACCAGAAAATGTCCACCATCCCAAAAGACAACCCTTCTAAGATGAACTTGTGGGCACAGAAGTTTTCTCAGCAGGTGAATAAAAATTTGGCTCCATTCTTTATGGCCTGGGGATGGCCTATCAAGAAAGAGCTGTCTCTGGAACTGTCCTCTCTACCCAGCTGGGAACAGGACCCAATGAGATCCTATAAACCATAAAGGAAAACTATATAAATCTTGGTTCTCATACTAGCTATGGCCTATCTTTTTCTCCTTGTGTGCTGCATAATAGCTCACTATGTGCTTAGATTTACACTGGATTCTTCAGCTTCTTGCTGACAATGGAGGCCAACCCAACAGAAATTCAACAGGAATTTATCTGCAGATCTGCAATCTAAGCTATCTTCTGAAGGATTAAATAATCAATGAGCTTTGTTCTGGGTTCTTCACCTCAGGAGGAATGTAATTCTGAGTTTATTTAGTTTCTACAGAACCTTTCTCTGATGAAATGGAAGTTTTCAGGGTGAAGCAGTCACTGGAACAGTCTCAAGGACAATATCAAGGGAGTATAGATCTTTAGAGCAAATAGTAGCCTTCACAATGTTGTACTCTTCAGTTATAACCTCAGTGACATGAGATTTTAACTATTGTTTCTATAACACTAAAATCCCTAATTTTTAATTCCTCTAATTATGCAGAACTTCCACACCTACTATTATGAAAGTGACCTTGTAAGGCTTATATACAGGTTATATAATGCATAGCTGATACTGAAATGCTGTAGATTTCTTCCTACGTTCTATGACTGTGTGACCCAACATCCAGCTTTATGTGAATAAGTCAATTGTAAGTTGTTGCTGTCACTCTTAACCGTGGCCTGACAACAAGATACATCCAGTGTAGATGGGAGAGTGGGAGCAAAGAGGTGACTTGATTGTAGTCAGTAATGGTTTAACTCATGGGCTCAGCAAAAGTTAAAACACAGGCACTGACCTGACAGCATGAGGGAGCAGAGAGAAGGAAGACAACAGTTCATCAAGACAGTAAAAAAAGACCAGAATAGAAATTACCCAGATACTTGTTACAACAGCTTTTCATTTTTGTGTTGGCTCAGATATGGTTCTGATTTCCCAATGATTCATAGGCCTAATATTTTACTTGGTGTTTCAAACTTTTTTCCATTCTTATTCACAACTGGTATGAGTTTATCTTCCAATAAAATAAATGCAGAGGCCAATCATAGTTTAAACAATGTCTCAGTACTGGTTTGGAGGTTCGGAAGACTTATATGGTATAAAGATTTAGATCTGACCCTACCTACGGAAGCATATTTTATCTCTAATGAGTTTATGAATAAAAGTTTAGCTTGTGTCCACTTAAAAAATATACCAAATGTATCAAAGTACTATCAGATCTGTTATCAGATCAGTATGTAAACTAGGGGGAGTTGGCTGGGTGCCACTGATCACAGCTCAGGGACAGGCTGGGCATCGGTCAGCGACTGGACTCTGCATCACTCGGGTTTCCTGGGTTTTATTCCTCTCTGTGTCTCTTTCTCTGCCTGTCATTGCAACTATTGTTGTTATTATTATCATTAGCATTATTGTTATATTTTACTTTCCTTCAGTTATTAAACTGTTCTTAACCCACAACTTTTACCTTTCTTTCATTCTACTTCATCCCGCCCCATCCCCTGCTCAGAGGTAAGGCAGTGAGCAACAGGCTATGTGGTGCTTAGTTTCCAGCTGATGTTAAACCATGACGTGCATGAAACATTGAATAATTTCTGTGAAATTTTATTTCAAGCAGCAGTTACAGAACAATTCATCATGCATGGGAAAATCTTTGAACACACCTGAGACCGACCTGAACAGGAGGTGAAGTGTAAAAAAAGTAAAATAGATTAGGAGGCCACATTGACCTTAGCAAAAATAAAAGCAGAAACAGAGGATTTTCGTGCTGTGATAAACTAGGTGGGTTCAGTAGTGAGGTTTTCAGATTACATGTAGACTTACTGGCTTCATTTTTACAGTCAGTTTGCCTTTAATGGAAAGTTGTCTGCTGTTTCTATTTACTCCTTTCTTCTAGTGGGGAACCCAACAAAGATTTGATTAAGGCTTTCCTATTATTATCAGGCTAAGGGTGATTTCACTAATAGCTGAAGCATTGGATTTACCAAGGCACTTGGAGAAACACACTGAGGCACAATACCTCTTCAAGGACAAATGTGAAATAAAATAGCAATGACTGTCAATTTTATTAACTACTTTTGTATAAGCTTTCTGGCTAGCAGCAAAATATTTTCAAACATGGCTTTTTCTTCTGTTGATAGTAAAGAACTCAGTGGTACTGAAGGAGCTGGTGATTTAATAGCAGGTCCTACTCTTTTTTTTTTTTCCCTAAAAATTTAGTTAGACTACTAGAGAAATTTGTGCTAATTGTATTGGTTATTTTAGCCTTTGATTTTCTGGCAGCAACTTTAGGAAGTAATCCACAAACCAAGCATAGATAAAGTGGGATTCATCTGCCCTGGTTTGGCCTCCAGATATTAGCCATCTCAATCTGAGCTGCTCACTCAAGGCTCCCTTTAGGCAATCCATCCCCTAAGAGAGCGCAGAGGGTTTGTTTACTTGTAAGGTAGGTTAGATGAACCATCACCTCAGCAGAAAGTGAACTCTGTGCTGTGGCAGAGACATATATGATTTTTTGACCACTTTGCTCAGGGTTTCAGTGCTGTGTGCACCTGACTTGAGAGCCTCAAGAGCCTCTTCCCGGTCAGTCTTGCATGGTAAAATGGTGCTAATAATAGGAAAGATGAATGTTCATGAGAACATGGGAATAGTGGTTGGAGAGGATGAATGACTGAACTAACACTTGAAAGCATTCAATATGAGTCGGTTATTGCCAGAGCACAGCATAAGCTGAATTTCCATTGCAGAGCAGTGGAATACTAGGGCTCCAGGGAGTTCTGTGGGACTAGAAGGAGTGGGATAAAAAAATTTCTGAGGGTTTTAATGCTTGATAACTTAAGGCTACACAAGAATGAAAAGAAGCTGTAGCAGGTGCAGAGTTTCTGGACAGTGAGATGAAACTGGAGAGCACAAGCTATGTGAGCAAACTGAAGTTTCAATGGGCCACTGTATTCCCCATATAAAGCTCTTCTGGAATATGGGAATGGCTCTTTTCTTTGAGGAAGTACAGTTCCTTTTGCACAATATTTTATGAAACAAATACTTCTGCTTGAGTGCTGGGTATTGATTAGGGATATGGCCTTACCAAATTGGCTTGTAATAAGCACAGGACAAATTGAATATGGTCCAGCTCATGGTAAGGGTTCAAAAATGTACCCGAAACCTACAGAGCTAGGTCACATTAATTACTGCCATTTCTTACAATGGGAAAATATAAGGGAGGCACAGAATCAGCCAGAAGCTGCTGCTGCTGCAGAATGAAAAGAAAGTATGTGTGGGATATACTAAACTGGGATCCAGCTCCTAACTCCAAGGATTAGACCAGTCCAAAAGCACTCTTATGACCAGTTTGGGATTAATTAGCATGTTTGAATGTCCCATGGTTTGAAATAAACATACATATGTACTGTGAAACAGAGGAAAATATCCCGTAAAAACTAAAGTGTAACCAAGCGATTAATCTTAAGCTACCTTGTAAAGAAAAATTTTCCACACACAAACAAAATTTCTTTTTGAAACAGAGCTCCCTGAAATTCCCACAGCACCTAAAGCAACTAACAGAGCTGTAAGCTGCACAACAGCTTAAACTGCTCAGGGAAGAGACAGGGTGGAAATACAGAAGAATAATCTCATTTGTACTGTAGAAGAGAGGAAGAAACTTAAAGACCTCTGTCAGTGGAGATGTATATTTTCAGCTGTGCTTTGAGGTACCCCAGAATGCTCACATAGGAGAGAGGGTCAAGGCTGTGTCAAATAGCAGCAGCTTCAGAGGGGAGGAACGTGGCTGTCCTTGCGCTGTGGATGGGCACATGGGTAAGTCAGGTATCTACCAAAACTCTGCCCTTGAATCCTGTCAAGCTACTTTCATCTGATTGATGTCTGTGCCGAGGTGAAGAGTAATGTTCCATATGGAGGTATTCTGTTGCCTTCCCCTGCTGAGACAGGAATGTCTTGTTGCCTACGGCAGCTACAGAACACACAGAGTTTGGATGGAGCTACCCAAGCCTGTCCAAGTTGCAGCACCTTTTGGTTACTGTCACAATGATGACCTCAGCTATTCTGCAGAGCTGAAGTGGCCTCCCTTGGTGCTAAAGAAGTTCAAAGTTGAAAAAAAAAACAACCATGAAAGTCTCTAGTCTGTGGTGTGGCCTCATATATAATATATATCATAGTGACAAAGGGGAACACATCAGGCCAAATATCAGTCACAATTAAAAAGGCTGTACAGGCTTGCAGGCTCCATTCTTCAGGCTTGGTAAGTGATCCCAAAACCTAAGTATAGCAGGGCACTAATGAAGTATTTCTGTATTTATGGTTTGCCTATATTTTCCTGGTTTGGTTTTTGTTTTGGGTTTGTTTTTTTTTATGATCATGTATATGGAAAATGTCAAAATATGTAATGTTCCGGGAATGTTTTTGCATAAAGCTTTGCATTTCTCAGTGAAGAAATTATATTGATAGGACTTTCATTTAGGAATTAATCTCTTTCCAGTTTCCCAATATAAGCATGTCTGAGACACATTTAAAGTGGCTTGATATTACAGACTGAGTTTCATCAACTCCTTGCAGCAACAACAGAAGGGGGTCACCAAAGAGGACTGGACCCCATGCCAGAATCTCAGGATCTCCCCATGATTCAGTAAAACACAGTTATATCTAGATTATTTATTGTTTCTGAGACTATGCAAAAGATTTTAGCTATGATGATTCTCTTCTTTCTTCACACTTAAAACTTCTTTTTCAATTGGCTACCTTTTTTCACCTGAATGCTGAATTAGGGGAAACTGACATCTCTGCCTGGTAGACAACCATCTGTCAGTACCCAGCCCCCTGGGCTGAGCTGGCCACAAGAACATCATCCTGACAGTACCAGCTGCTGATGTACACCACATAGACAACCCAGAGAGTCTGCTTTCCATCCGGAACAAGATGATGAATGCAATAGCCAGGCCAGCAGCTATTCCAGCAACTTTTCCAAGGCCAGAAAACATGGTGGCGGATGTCCAGATATCTCATGGCAAGTATAATAACTAGGACATTTTGTCTTTATCTGTGATGAATATTCACAAGGGAAATACATAAAGCAGAAACATTCTCACAAGACCATGCAGATCCTCAAATCAGCAGATTAATTCCACCATATTCAAGAAGATCACTTGAGAGAGAAAGAATCTTCCGTGAATTTCAAGAGCTTGCACACAAAAATAACATCTTCTGCTGCTAATTTGACACCATCCCAGGACAAAACACAATGAAGGGAGAGAGGCTGGCCACCAAATGACATGTGTACTGTGTCTTATTACTGGGAATCAATTTATGCTAATTGCAACAGAAAGAAGGGAAACACAGCTAGTTGTTTTAGGCAGGACAAATGAGATTTTGAAACTTAATTTAAGGCATGTAACAGACACACAGGCATTCTGTTATGTAATAAGATCCTGATGTTAGCAGGCATAGCCATTACATCAGTGGGGAAGTGGGGGCAGTGGTAGGGGAACAGTTTATTGCAAGCAGCATTTTGCTATCTATCATTTAAGAAATAAGTTGTTTAAAGACAATTCTCCAGGCCAGTGGAACTGAAGTTTGTTATGGGTGGTAAGGAGGCTCCTAAAGTCCAAGCCTCAGCATTACTTTCAATCAATCTTCATTCAAGTATTGCACTTTTCTCATTAGGATTGGCAGATACTTTCAGTTCTACTTGACTGCAGCACTAGAGGTGTTTTCTACCACTTGAATTGTTAAATTCATCAGCTGCCCAGGCCACCACTCTGTCAATAATCCACAGCTCTAGCAGCTTAACTCATGTGGTGTAGTTGCTGTTGGTCAAGTAGCACTGACTCAAGAGAGGCTGGCTCGAATGTAAACATTGGCACAGGTTTCCCAGAGTATCAGTAGATGCCTCATCCCTTGAAACATTCAAGATCAGGTCAGGTTCTGAGAAACCTGATCTGTTTGAAGATGTCCCTGCTGATTGCAGGGGGGGCTGGACTAGATGACCTTTAAAGTCCCTTTCAAGCCAAACCATTCCATGATTCCACAACAAATAGGTTGCTATGTCTCCATGCAGCACTCACTCCTCTAAGCATACCTTTGTGTAAGAAGGGTTTCTTCAGACTAATCAGTCATTACATTTGGCCACATACGGTTCTGAATCTAACAATATAGTTGCAATCTGTCAGTGATCCTGCAACAATTGTGTTTAGATTACATATCAGATCCTTCTGGATTGATTTACGTGGCTCCTTCTCTCAAGGTAACCAGTCCTCTGCACTGTGTACCAGACAGCACTGTCCACCAGAGGCCACACTGGTAGAACCCAACATATAAAACTCTTCCAGCTTCCATCACACTTGCTGAAATCAGTGGAGTGTATAGCATCATTTCAGAGATGTGAGTGGCTCTGTGTTCTTCCTGGGCTACTCAGGAGCGATAAGGAGCCAATGAAGAATCTGTTGAGCCTATTGGATTGGCACTGGAGGAAAAAAAGAACCAAAGATAGTAAAATCCTATGAAAAGCTACTGAAACATGACTTTTAAAGCTGGTTATAGTAGTCAGCAATACTGAGGAACTCGTGGAAGATATTAAGGAGCATGTTATTTGTTTGTCTCTTCTGAAAAAGAAAAAAAAATTTTTACAAACAGCATGAGAAACAGCAAAATTAGAATGGAAATGATGAAAATTACAGTGAAAGAGTAACAGTGACCCTAAGAAGAAAGTTCTACCCAAAGCTGAAGTGAACCATGGAATAATATTTAATACTAAAGTGCTGCTTTACTAAAATCATCGACAAGAATCTGCCTTCCCCAAAAAAATAAAATAACTCCCAGTTCATGTTTTGCTTTCTGGTACAGTAGACATTGTCATGGCACAGTGTAGGCCGGCTGCTATCCGAGGGTCAGGTGGCCAGGAACCAGCTGGAGTGACACAGCCAGCAGGACAGGGACCTTGCCAACTGGGGGCCATCCCTCAACACCTGAGTGAAGCACGCAGGGCAGACCTGACACAACATCCATGGTCAGCCAAGAGTCCGGATTGCTAGACAAGTCTTCAGGGATGAAACAGGTCTGAGGTCAAGCAAGGAAATCAATCCTCAGGTCAGGCTCAGGTCCAGTGATGGTGACCAAGGTCAGACATTGATTACCAGGAAAGCTCATCGAGATGATACACATCTGAAATCAAGTGAGGAAGTCAGACCATGGATCCGGGTCTGAATCAGCCAAGGGCTGAACTGAAATGTAGCTCCTGGGGTCATGTACAAGAGGGGTAGGTGGGATGCCAGGTGGGGCTGCTCAAGGCCATTAAAGCCTTTTGTTCCACTCAGGACTGACACAAAA